ACATGCCAAAAGATGCCATACAAGCAATATGGACAAACAAGGGCTCAAGCCGCATCGCACAAAGGTTTATAGAGACTGTACTCGCCAGATAGATTCCTCTCCTTTTTTCCTCCCCAGATTCGATATTCTCGTTGATGGCTACAATAGTCAAGATAGGAATTCAGTTCATTATTATCTTCTATTCCGAGCCCGTGACACTTCCTGGGCCATCTCACTAATCTGTTCAATGCTTGCCTGCATTTGGGATACTGCCCAGAGCACTTCTGAAAGTCAACTACAGTGGTATTGCAGAAACCCAGCAAACCCGATTATGCAGAATTGATAGTTTGCTTATCAAGACAGAAGATTTGGGGGAGATTGGTGGTCCGTGGGGGTTTGAAAAAATGACAAAGTTATCAGTTTGTATGTACAGAAATAGCCTATTGCTTAAAGCAGAGACGGAGTTGTCCGTCAAGGGATGTCAATTGTTAGAACTGTGCTTTGAATTACAAAAGCTCAATGTGTCCGAGTCATTATAAAAGTGAGTAAAGTTATGTGAATTCATACAGGGATCTAAGAAGACTCTCTCTGGCTCTACTGAGAGTAATACCAGCTAGGGAAATTACACACAGCAAATACCATTTATGCATTCGGGTTGAGACGGACGAAGAACATATTCACCAGTTGAAAAAAAGTGGATAAGGAATACCGTTCTGAACTCAACACTAGAAGAATAAATACCAATCCGCCACAGATCCTGAAAATACCGTTGAATAAAATAAGCACAATCAGTACTCGAGATCCACTTCCCGGTCTGAGCCGACAGTGTCATCGGCGACCTCCTCGTAATCCTTCTCAAGAGCCGCCAGGTTCTCACGAGCTTCGGAGAACTCGCCCTCCTCCATGCCCTCACCCACATACCAGTGGACGAAAGCACGTTTGGTGTACATAAGGTCGAACTTGTAGTCGAGACGGGCCCAGGCCTCGGCGATGGAGGTGGAGTTGGAGATCATAGTGACTGAGCGGTCAACAGGTGCAAGCTCGCTACCGGGCACACTCATAGGCTTCTGGTAGTTAATACCAAGTTTAAAACCAGTTGGACACCACTCGACCAGGTTGAAAGATGCCTTGGCCTTGACATCAGCAACAGCTTGGGTGCAGTCGTGAGGCATGACGTCACCTCGGTACAGAAGAGCCACAGCCATGTACTTGCCATTGTGAGGATCACAGACAACCATCTGGTTTTTGGGCTCAAAGCCTGCCAAACAATTAGTATGAAATGACACTTAAAATGAAAGGCACGAAAGCACATACATTTGAAGGTAAGATCCTTGACTTTGAAGCTCTCGTGGCCGCTGCAGTTGCTGGAGATGACAGGAGCATACGAAATAAGAGGGTAGTGAATACGTGGAAACGGCACGAGGTTGGTCTGGAAGTCGTTCAAGTCGACGTTGAGGGCACCATTGAAACGCAAGCTGGAGGTGACAGAGCTAACAACCTGGGCGATGAGACGGTTGAGGTGATCATATCCAGGGCGAGGTATGTCTAGGTTGCGCTTACAGATATCGTAAACAGCTTCGTTGTCGACAAGAAAAGTACAATCGGAATTCTCAATGGTGCTGTGTGTGGACAGCACAGCATTGTAGGGCTCCACCACGGCAGTCGCCACGAGGGGAGACGGGTAGACCGCGAACTCTAGCTTCGACTTCTTGCCATACTCAGCAGAGAGACGCTCCAGCAGCAGTGCACCGAAACCAGAGCCGGTCCCACCGCCGATAGAGCGGAAGATCAAGAAACCCTGAAGGGAAGAGCAGCTATCTGTTATAAGATGAGCATAGGGATCAGGAATCAAGGGAGTATTAGATATGCGCACCGGCCACACGGCGAATTCGGTCAACAACATCCTCCAAGAGCGCCTTGCCGACGGTATAGTGGCCACGAGCATCTATAACATATTAGCCTGCTTGATCTCACGGCTTTCAGATACTGGGGGGTCATGCAGTTGTTGGCAGCATCCTCTTTTCCACTTATGAGTTGCTCTGGGTGGAACAGATGGCGGTAGGTACCAGTGCGTATCTCGTCGATAGGCTATATCACCGCCAATATGTTAGTTGGCCCGAATCCATTCCAAGTCTCAGGTCGCTCATTACCCACCGAAGGGTCAAGGTCAACAAAGATCGAACGAGGGACATATTTGCCATTTCCGGTCTCGGTGAAAAAGGTCTCATAGGAGCCGCTCTGGCAAATTTCGTCGGCAACATCAGGATCTTTATTTCCATCTGGCGTCAGGCCGTGTTCGAGCAGATAACTATATCATCATTGAGCGGTTAACCATTACCGAATGAACCACAAAGCAGTAAAACTTACAGCTCCCAGGCGGCATTACCCAACTGGGTACCAGCCTGGCCGAGGTGAATATGACATATCTAATCCATCAGCACATCAATGTCAATCACATGAGGGGTTTGGCTTGGTCTTGAATACAACAGTATTGAGTGCCACACCGCGAGACCGGATTGTGTATTTTGTGGTTCAACGTTGGAAAATAGAATGGGTGAAGGATGAACCATCAACACAGCCACCATTGAACAGCAACAGGATAGCACGTACTTCGCCGCGCATGATAGATAGACTAAAGATCACAAATTGTGTTGCGTACAGTTAGACAGACGTGACATGGATGGACATGCAGGTTCATGTTTAAGAAAACCGACGTCCACAATAGGTAGAATATGGGCAGAATTATAGGGCGGTCTACCCTAGGCACCGTGGAAGATAATGGAATTTTATATATAATATACAGAACCCATAAACGTTTCCATCGACAGCATTCAGAACCCGAATTTACCAGTTGACGTTCGGTCGCATCTAGAGGATTGACAAAGTAACCGAATAAATTACTTGAAAACCAGCAGCGCCAAACCATGACTTCGAAGAGAAAGATTTCCCTAACCCCGTATATGCTATGAACACTCTCAAATAACAAGCTCTATCTTCGGATGTATGCAACGTGCTCTGGTTAATTGGATTCTCAGGAGGAGTGTGTTGCCACTACTTTTTTTTTCGGGGGGTGGGGGGTTTGACAGAGATCGGGATTCTGAAAACATGGATCGGAGGAAGCGAGTAATGAACATGGCTCTATCTTAAGAGATGGGCATATCCACCGGGCACCGCTGCTGGACTACTGCACAAAACGGATGACCAGGTGAGAAGCGCAGCATCCACGTGACTGATCACTAGGCATGGGCTGAGTGTTCAACTAGCCTTGCCCTGTATCAGAAAACACTCACTGAGCCGGGCCCTGAGTATCCTCGCTAAATCGGCAGCATCCGGAAGAAAGTCATGATGGTTCGAGAAATTCGGAGCCGTGGATATTGTATTGGACTTTCTCTCTGCATGCTCACTGAACGCATGCCTTATCTGAGGTGGCAGCTTCGTTTTCTGCTTCATGCTCCATCAACAACTCGATCATTGCTTGATCGCCAAGAATGCTAGCTATGTCAAGCGCGCTATAGCCGTCATGCCTCTTCACTTTTACAGAAGCTGCTTCATTTAAAAGCAATACCACGGCTGCATACTGTAGATTTCCAATTGCGAGCATGAGCGCCGTATTTCCCTGACAGTCCGGTGTATCCAAAGTTGCTTTATTCTCTATGAGCAGCCGCATCATATCGACTCGCCCATGTGATGCAGCCCAGTGTAAAGCTGTCATACCAGAATAATCGCGCGCGTTTATATCAGCTTTACCCTCGATGAGATGCTGTGTGATCGAGATGTTTTCCGTCTCGGCTGCCAGCATCACTAAAGTCTTCCCGTCTTCTTTATCTATACGGGCGTTGACATCTGCCCCATGGTCAAGTAGCAGGGAGACGACAGTCTCTTTTCCCTGCTCAATAGCATAGTACAGCGGAGGACATCCATCGGACCCATGAAGGTTAATATCCGCCTTATTTTCCAGAAGTAGTTGCACAGCATCTCCATGACCATGAAAAGATGCCAATTCTAATGCGGTGTATCCTGCAGCTTCTTTGCTGTTGACTTCTGCGCCCTTCTCAAGCATCATTTGGAGCCTGCCAACCTCCCCTTCCTGGGCAGCATAGCGCAGGCCAGTTAACACCGTGCTCCCTTTCGCTTTCTCCTCTGCCTTTAGAACCAGGCGAGCTCTCGTTATTTTGCTTCGCATTTCCTTAGCGACAGAGTCCACTATGGTGCTCCCGCCATTGACTTTGCCCAATAAATGTCGAATAATTTCTCGCTGTTCTCGTACGCATGCTCCATGCAAAGGAGTCCAGTGATCTTTATCATTCAAATGGGCATCAGCGCCATTTTCGAGCAGCAACCGGACCATCTCTTTGCAACCCCTCATAGATGCTCTGTGCAGCGCTGTGCAGCCATTCTGATCCTGCCAATTGACATCAGCATTATTTTGGAGCAAGAGCCGCGCAACTGCTACTGTTCCACTTTGTGCAGTCCAGCAAAGAGCGGTCTGGTCACAGTAATTCTTCGCTTGCACAGATGCCCCCTTTTCTAGCAATAGTCGCGCAATTTCCTCCCATATCACAGCCCAGTGAAGAACAGAATGTTCATAATCATCGGTTAGAGTAACACTGGCGTCATTTTCTAGCAACACTTTCACGGTTTTTTCATGCCCCGCTGATACTGCGAAATCCAGCGCCGTGCTTCCCGTTTCATCTTTTGTATCGACATTGACTCCATTATCCAGCAGCTTTTTAACGATGTCCCCGTGACCTTCGTGAGCTGCTAGGAATAATGCTCTATCTCGATCAGTATTTCCAATGTCAAAATCAGTATATTGTTCCAGAAGCATTGTGATCAACTCGATGTCGTGGTTGACAACCGCCCAACTGAGAGCGGTCCAATTTTCATCATCCACAACAATGCTGGCTCTCTCCTTCAAAAGCAGTCCTACTATTTGTTTGTGTCCATTTCTCGATGCCCAATGTAGGGCTGTTTCACCATGATGGTTATATGCATTCACACATGCGCCTTTCATGAGTAGGGTTTGTGCAGCTTCATAATTTCCTCGCTTAGCTGCTATAAGCAATGCCGTCTCTCCATGGCTGTCATCGGTGTCGACGCGCATATCCGTATCCAAGAGAGTGTTAAGAAGGTCTTCCGGACCCCAGTATGCTGCAACATGTAATGGTCCAAACCGTGCCGGAAAACGGTCAACCCGATCCTTTTCCCCACTATCGGTCACGTGCAACACCTGAATAGAAGAAGATAGCTTCAGGCTGTCGTCAAAATACTGAAGAATCAGGCTTAGATGTTTGGATGATTTCTTTCTCATGTGACAACCCCAGTGATGAGATGCAATCTCAGTGTCCGGATCAGGGGGTAGTGCGTCAGGGTGCTTCACAAGATATTCCTGTAAAGTGTGGTGCGCTAATCTAATTTTCTTGCTCTCTTTATCAACCCTTAGCAGGCCCGCAGAGTTGTTAATTATGTAATAATCTGCGGGAATTGCATCCTGGCACAACTCGCGATCGCCATCATCGACGGCAAGAGCATGGTACAGTTCACCAACTGTTAGGTCTTGTCTTGCGCAAAATATAAGACATTGCTTTCTTGACGGTCTCGCAGATTGGCTCTTTTTGGTTCTTAATCCGTCTGATGGCCTCATTATAGTAACCTTCCAAGTCTGACGGCAATGCTTTCATGCCTTGATAGGAAGTCCACCTGGAGATGAGCAAGCAGAAACCTAACACATATTCAATCAGTTTGGAATCTAAAAGGAGATGAGCTGAGCAGTGATTGTTTTACGGACTCACATTCCCGCGGCATTTTCAATAAGGTTTTCAATAATCATATCCTTGAACTTTGTCGTTTGCAACAAAATTGGACAAATCAGATTTTTCTATCCTGTCATCCAGATACCTTAGCATATCAGACCTTTTTGCCGATATCTCGAGTCGAACAAAGTTTGAAAATTGGACAGGAAGTTCTATTGGATGTGATGTTAAAAACAGCAGAGCCAGAGATTGGAGCTCTTTCATGAAGTGGAGAAATTTACATCTTTCTTTTTCAGGGCATTCGTCCTAGATAAGTACCAATGAGAATCCCGAAATTCTGTAACAGGAATGGAATACTAACAAGCGCATCAACAAAGATGTAAGCTTTTTCAAAGTCACAAATGAGATCTCTGGTCAAAGAAATCCATTCTGCCCCAGTGGGATTTCTTTTCTTGACTGCATTCTTATCCAAGAATTCACTCACAATTCACGGGGTATGTTCATGGTGGCTTGCTAGCTGCCGAGCTATACTGGACAAAGCTCAAATTCCAAATGTGTCACTGTGTGTTTATAATCACAGTATATATATACCATGGCGACGTTAGTTCCTTCTGTGGCTTCGCTGACATAATTGACGGCGATCGAGCTGGTTGAGCATTGTAAGTATAATTTACAATGACAAGCCAGAAGGGTAACTTACATAAGCACAGTCTTTCCACTGCCCGCTAGTTCTGATAATGAGGACGAGCTGTCATACAACTTGAGTGGTGATTTGGAGTGGGAACTTACGGATTCCATAGCACCAGAGAGTTGAATTTTTTGTACAGTTGAACCATCTCTGGAACTCTTTGTTCTGCAACAACCATTGCCCAGTACCTTCAAAGCGTTGTGTGAATGTGTCTTTTTGTTTTTTCTTGAAGCTCAAAGTTGATAGCCTGGTCAAATCATTATGCCCTAAATGCTATCAGTGACTGAGAGTAAATGGACCCTTGCAAGGAAACACCATACTTTGTTTTTCAACATCCAAATTTCTCATATCCCGGTAGGTTGCATTTCAAATAACGTTATTCGCATGCTTTGTCGATTTATCGAAATGTGAATATGCAGAGGTAAGTTCACTATCTTCCCCCAGGAGAAGATTCCGAAGCCATTTCACTAGTTATATCGAAGCAATATCCTTAGTAATTTTATCACACTCGATTGATTATGTGGAGTAGACAAAAGCGATTTCGCTGTACAAGATAATACAGCATATGGATACTTACTGTGCCGCTTCCTCTTGATGTATTTCGCGGTGATCCCGCAGACATTAGCAGAGACGTGAAGACCTTGATTATAGACTGTTCAAGTTCTTCTGTTTGCGATATATGCCCCTCTAAAACTTTGAATTCTCTGACACAATTGTCTAACTCTTCAAAGAAATCGATGACCTTATCATAATCGGCTGAGACAGAATTCGCAGCCTAAAGTATTGTTAGGTCCATAGGATACTGGAGGGAAGGTGTGCCATACGACTATGATGAATCGCACTGCCGTGAAGACAGCCACACCAGGCGGAAATGACTATACTCATTTGTCAACTTCACTCATTATGACGCGGAACGGCTGCAAGACCTACACTTGAACTAGCCTGAGCAACTATCTCACTGAGCTTCTCAACGGGTTGCAGGCATTTCTTCACAAGATCTCTAAGCCTGTCAATCTTTGAATCGCTATGCCGTCTGGATTCAAATCTAGACTTCCTGGTCTGTATTTCACTCAAGACATCGTCCAAAGTCTTTGCTTCAGGTAATGATTCAAGGGTCCTCCCAGAAACCTCATAGTGGCGTATCGCAGTCTCCCAGAGCTTTTTTCACATTGGTGGTGGTTTCTGGTCCCATTCTTAAGACCGTGAAGATTGTTCTGTCGCATCAATCGATAAAGAGAGCCTTAAAAGTGGTATGACGGACCTTCACAACCACGGTCATCCTCACTGCATGGTACTTACAGAGAACCTTGGAATGCGATGGAGTTCAACCTAGTTGGGCGTACGCCTCCAGTCGAGGGAGGGACACACCCAGTTGAAGCCAGTTGAAAGCAAACCTCGACTCTGTGCGTACGCTGCCGCTAAAGGCGCTTAACAGCTCCGATCTGGATCATGAGCGACACCATCACTTCGCAGCAACCCGTTACCTTCAGTCAAGATACAAAATCATCTTTTCTACAACACTTGCGCGGTCATCCAAGCAACCGCCGTATATCACCAGGCGAGAAGGAAAACCTGATTGAATGGCTAACGAATCCTGACAAACACCCATCTTCCCAGCGAGAATTCAGCCGACGCAACTACGCACGGAAGACGTTCATATGGGACCACGAGACGCGAAACCTGCTAGCAATCGATAAATCCGAACCCGGTAGGAACAAAATTGTGGTTGTGGAAGAGAATATCGCGGACGTTGCTGAAGCCGTTCACAGTCGCAATGGCCACGCTGGTTGGGATGCCACCTGGAAAGATGTCAGCGCTTCATACCACGGTATTCTGAGGTCGGATGTCATATATTTGCTTAGGAGATGCCAGATCTGCTTGCACAATCCATCCAAACGCCCTAAGGATAGTAGCAGGGCCGTTGCAGAGTTCGGATCAGAGGACTCCGACATTTTTGGCTTGCTGGATTTCAGAGAATTGGAATTCAATGACGTGCCATCATATGAAACAAACGGAGAAAACTGGTCAAACAGATGAAACTGGTAAGTGAGCAAATTGGACATGTCTCTTTCCAATTCGCTTCGAAGAGGGACAACTTGGAGGAAGCTACCTGACCTTTTGCCCAAAAGTTTCCTTGTCCAGACTTATATTTGTACACTCCAAAATGCTTAGGCCAAAACGAATTATAGGTACACTACTGCATATTGTTGACGTTCTTCAGTACCCGACTACCAGAAGGTGGATGCTATATGGAGCCAAATACGTAAATTTGTACTCCTTTAAGCTCAAATTTGTCCGTAATCAGAATTCTACTGCTTCACAAGCTGTTTCCTATTTCTACTTACTAGATGGCCTGTTCTTCTGGTTTAGATTATAAATCAATGCCAATAGCTGCGTGATTATACCTGGTACTACAAGAACGAATATCAAGAAAGTGAATGCTTTTGGCCAAGATAATTTAGAATAGAAGAAATTTATACATCCTGAAGTATGTTGATTGAGTGCAGCGTAGCCTCACACAGAGTTCTAATATGGTACCATCTCTTCAAAACGGTGGAGACCTTTGCAGCGGCAGACACCCTCTGTTCATCCTCAGCATAGCCTGAAGTATCTTTCGTTTCGAGGGTTTCCAGAGCTCGGATTGCCTTTATGCTCTCTTTTAGGGGTAAGTCAACCCAAACACTTAAGATCTTTGCCATCTTCTTTGCATCAATGCCCTGTGTGAAATTGTATAGAACGTGTCCCCGCCATTTTTCTCGATCCATGAATTTTATACACGCAGCAGCTTTAGCCCGAGAACAAGCACCATTTTTCGTGATTTTATAGTTTCTGGAGTCAAAATACTTCGTATTAGTTGACACACATTGCGTCTCAGGTAGTCTCATGTTCACGTACCCATACAAATCATAGAGTTTCAGCTCCTCCTGCTCAGCTGCTGTAAGGTCTTGGAATACTATATCATCCAAGAATATAGCATCTGATTGGCTATGATCTAAGAAAAAGCCATCTGCGTCGAAATCAATATTTTGGCCATCCACAACCTCTACTGGAAACTAACATTCAACAAAAAGGTAGTCATTGGGATGCGAACCATAGCTGATGTATGCTTCCTCGCCCTCTTCTACAATAGCGTCAGTGTCCTTTCAGCAAGATTTCATTGTCATTAAGTCACCTACCGATGCGTCGGGTTGTCTTGATGGTATAACCCTGTTGGTCGAACATTGCTATGCAGTTCTTTGACACTTTGTCAGTTACTTATTTTCTCCAGTTTGTTTATCAATCTCAACTGACCGCGTCATCCGCATGATTAAAGTAATCTGCGATAGGGACCAGGCCAACAGCATCATTCCAATCCTCTGGCTCATCTTGCCCTGGTGTCACATAGTAAAAACTCCTCGTGTTAATAATGAGCCAGTTATAGCAAAAGATCTCCCAGTTTGTGTCCGGAAACTGCTGAAGCACACATTCCCATGCTATTTGAATTCGCTTTTTTTTGGTTTTCGAGAATATTCTGATATATCCGTCCTGTGTCATTTGCTAATGGATTTTTGGAGATAGTACTGGAAAAACCAAAAGCAGGTGGCAGAGGACCATAGTTCACACCTAATTCTTTATGTGCCATGCACTTTGACGACTGAAGGAACTCAGGCCATAGAATAGGCATGCAGTCTCTGAAACTCTGAAGACTAGGCCAAGTTGAATGCCACGCATTCCACTTTTCCAGGAAATAGGATTCTCCGTGTGTAAGGAATGCTGCGAGAATTCGATGTATAGGCGTTCTCTTAGGGAATAGTTCGGTGAATGTCTGAGGGACAGAGTCAATTGTCAACATCAATGTTGATGGAACGGTAAGAATAGTTTCGTGTTCCTTCAGCTAATGTCAACCATGGTAAACTGACGATGTCGCGCGGAAAGGCGTACTTCAATCGTCCTTGTAGCTACCATTCCCAGACCTCAACCGTGAAGTTCGATTGGAACGATCCCCTTCATCATAACACCTTGGGATACTGCCCACCGTATGGAGCAAAGATAGGCACTTTCAACCAGTTCTGTCATCATTACCATCCGTGTTCGGGGAAGAAAACGATTTTTAGACTAAATATGTGGGCGACGGTAAGCAGTTAAGTGCTGCTCCAAGGCCGCCCTCGCTCGGACCGGATAAGGCAAAGGGCCAGTCTACCCGATCGGCACGCACCCCAATCAATGTACATCAATTCATACGCGTCGCGAACTCCGGCGATATTCTGACGTAGATTTATAACATATTGTCGACAGTCGCAGGCCTTGATAGAGCTAAAATGAAACCTCCATGAGTCAAAACTCGCGGGACTTATATCATACATGACACTTCGACTTAAAATTTGTTTATCAGAGGCATATTATGATATAATGTCGCTATGGTCCGCGTCTGCTATTGTTTTTAAAGATGCCTACAGCATAGATGCTATTGCAAATAGTTGTCCTTAAAACTGCTTTATATTCGTAACTCGCTTTTCTACTACATTCTGACTATTTTCCATTCGATTGACCACTGCCTTTCCATGATTCCATCTCTTCTTTAATCCATCCTACGGATTTGTGTCGATCTGCTTGTGAATGTCATCCTTCCACTTTGAGCCATATATCAGATCATTAACAGGCTACAGGGAGGGCCGCAAAGCAGCAGCACATTCATGGGGCTGCCAGGCAGTGACAGACATTCTCAGCACAAAGGCTGGATTCACTGTTTATGCAGGTTGGCTGGGAAAATCCAACTTTTATACAGACATCTGCAGACGCCATTAGGTCACTAAAACTCACCAAATTCAGGGACATCCAGGCTCACCTCTGGTCTCCCTCTCTCTTCCCTTTGTTTCATAATTCCTTCTATTCTCTTTTTCCTTTTTCCTGTTCTTGCTTTTCTTTCCAAACACAAGCTCAATTTGCTGGTTGACAGCCATGAAAACCCAAGCAGCCCCCCGCGCGGGGGGCTACCTGTATTTAGATGATAGATGGTAGTTTAGCTAGGTGACAGGCAGTTCCGATCTGCCCGTCGTATGTCACGCACCGGGACCAGGGCTTTTCTGCTTCCGAGGTTCCAAGGATGCGTGGAAAGACCCGAACCTCCTCGTAAAACACACACACACACACACACACACACACACACAAGATAGCAATTCGTAATTCTTCTACTATTACTATGATGTGCTGGTTCCCCTGACTCATTGACGATCTCAAGTTTATCGAATCTATGAAGTGTACAGAGACTGCGAACTCCAGGATCATTCCTAAAGTCGGCACAAGATAAAGTCGATAAGAGGTCGCTCTCAAAATGCAATCGGAGACACTTCAATCTGTTGAAATGCTTAAGTAATTGAACACATCGAATGCTGTGAAGGTTTGGCAGCCTAATGCAGTCACATCCAAAGCTTAAATCTTCATTTCCGATAGACTCCATGTCGCTTTTACTTTCCCAAGTGAAGCTCAAGAATTCGACATTATGACGACCAACTTCTCCGATTGAGATGGCAGTTTTTAAAAAATCGTCCATATCATAAAGACGAATGGATGTCTTGCGATAAGCCAGTCGTAGTGCCTCTTTACGCATCTGTCTGTTGACTGCGAGGATACCGAGGTTGCTTCTAAACGGAAAATAGAAGCCACTGGGATCACCTATTCCTCTAGCAAAATTGACACCAGAAACATCGCCAGAGTCGATCATTTGCAGCTCCGCTTTGGGGATTGCATATGTGTAGATCTCGTCGCGGACTTCCCTAGGGAGTTTAAAGAATTGGGGCTCAAAACCAGAGATACTACCATGTTGCAACTTTCAAACGGTTAGCCAAAATGTAGAAGAGAGGATAGAAGAGCGGCCTACCTGTGCAATGGACATTACCGCCAATGCCTCATCCTTGGTCAGCTGCAGTGGTAGATGAAATCCGAAGTCATAATAAATATCTGCTGTGACTGGCTGATGCGGTTTCTGTGTTCAAGGATGATAGTGTACCGGCCACTAGTAATTTTCTAGGTCAAATTAGTCTGTCTAATGAGCGAATAGCTAACGAAGGTTGAGCAATAATCACACACTTTGCTTATTCCAGGCCCAGGGAGATAATTCTCTGGGGCTGCTTTGGAATATCGGTGCTGCTTTGTTCTCAAGTATTCATCAAGTTCGTTTCTTGTCTTCTCATAAATGTTGGAAGGGACAATTGTAAGGTCTGAGTAAAAGCGCTCCGTATCACTGTAAGTATTATCTAGAGAGGCGACCTTGTAGCCTAATGCATCTTCCATTTCATCTTGGGAGCCTGGAGGCCTGCATTTTGCCATATTTGTACATCGATTGGCAGATATCCTTGGTTGCAACTATAAACGGATATGAGACATGCTTTTCACAGTTCAGCGTTTTTGCCATGTGCGACCGCTTGTCAGCACGGGCCAATGCCGAACGCATGACATGACACGAGTTCTGATTGATTGATTGATTGGTGATCCAACGTCGGAGGTTTATCTGCGGAAAAACCCTGGTCCGGGAGCGAACGCACGACGATCAGACTGCCTGTTCTCTATCAATTAAAACAGGTAGCCACTGCGCAGAGAGCTGCTTGGGTTTTCACAACTGTCAAACAACAAATCAACTTCTTTTAGGTTTGATAAGAAAGAAACACAGAAGGGAAATGAGAGAGACAAATTATGATAGTCCCGTCCAATATGAATCTATCTGTGTCACGGGCTCGGAATAGAAGATAATATTGAACGGAGTTCCTATCTAAGCTATTGTAGCCATCGACGAAAATATCAAATCTGGGGAGGAAAGAGAAGAGGAAATCTATCTACAGGAAATAGAGGTTTTATAGGCGTTTGTTTGACATCACCACTCGTCTAGTATGTTGGTGCCGTTTGTCGGTGTCAGCCATTGACGCAGTGTCAAGCCGTCACATGTATCCAATTCCTGGACAGTGCCAACCATTCTTGCCATGATGGATATCACACTGCCAGCCAAAAAATGCATACAGGAAATGGACTGTCTCATCTGAGTCTGAGATCCATTGCCAGTGCTGTACTGGGTCCACACCAATATATTGACAATACCTACCAGGAAGTCACCAGTGAGCTTTCAACATGATTTGATGGCCAAGAGAGTTATCTACCTATTCCAGTACATGCAGGTCTCATTGAGTCTTTCCTGAGTGGCGTCACTGTACCGCTTCTGTTGAAGCTGAGAGACATTCAAGCTCTCTGCTTGGGTCAAATGGTGTTCATGAGGCAGCTGGCCCTCATTGTCAAAGATATCATCGTTGGCTTCATCTCCATCTTCATCATCTGAATCCTCACTATCAAGTTCCAGGTCACTGGTGGAGTCACTATCAGAGCCGTTGTCTGAAAAGATCTCAGTCAGGTCGGAGCTGGCATCAGTCTGATTCTCTTTGTCGTCAGATCTGACTGGTCAGGAGCGAGGCGCCATGGTCGACACAGCCCACAGGAAACTGGCAAACAAAAAGAAAGTCTGGAGTAGAAGATAAAGAGGATGAGAGTGACAGCGGTTTTGTGGATAAAGACAAACCTCAAAAGAATGGGAAGTGCTCCAAGAGAAGCTCATGGGAGGAAGGATGGAAGCAGGGAAGGACACTGTCAGCACAATGGGATTTATAAATTCAAGAAAACATGATGGTCGAGGGGAGCCAAAACTGGCTACCCTTTGCGACCGCAGTGAGAGCGTCTTGATAGATGATGTTGGACAAAATAGCAACAAAAGTCCCATTTGAGACTAGCGCCGAGGGGCGTGAAATCCGTGGCCTGGCGTGGAGGAAAAGCCTGTGGCCGTGGGAATACGCTCACCTGATGCCAAGACGGGACTTGGTTAGCAAGACTCCTAAAACGGCCGCCGGAGTAGCCCTTTTCGGCCGCCTGCTAACCGTCACATCAGTAAATGGAGATATTTAATTGATTTAAAAACATAATATCAAGATCATTACGCCACTGCTCATTCTTAAAAGCATTCATTTGTAGTTGAGTTGACAGCAGCAACCATATATAGTGATCGTTTTCACCTTTTATTGGCTTTTAGGGACCAGGATGTCTGCTTATCGTGTCTTTTGTTGAGCCAGGTTGCTTTTTATTGGTATGGGTCTGTTTATACGGAAGATGCCTGGTATAAACTATAATATATTATGCAGACTTGAGATGCTATATCCAGAGGGAATATCAAACACGTAGAAATCTTTATAATGCTTTCCTGTAGCTTGAAAAGTCTCAGATAAGACGATGGGATCAACCATTTGCTTTATTGCGTTGCTTCGAGAACAGAAATTACACCCAACTAGTGCTTTAGAAATACAGCCTCGCTCGCTACGCGAGCGAGGCAAAAAAACATACAACAGCCGGGATTCGCTGGTGGTCACCCACCCAACTACTAACCGGCCGGCGTGTGGCTTAAGTACGGCTGAGCGGACGGGAAGCCCTGTTCTCCACACCCTATGGTCGTATGTACAGAATCTTTCATCTAGAGGATTTATATAGGGCATAAATAGTCCTGCAGCGGGACTATTTTTTTTGACAACAAATTCCATTTTTGCTTTGTACAAGTATGGAGTGGACCTGCAATTTACAGTACAAAAGATTTGCAATGCCCATTCAAAAGTATGAATACTTTGTACACTGCAAGGGGATTAAGGGACAAGACACAGCATTGCTGTGTCACAACCTGGCTTCTCTCGTATCGTAACCTAGGGTTCTAGTTAGCTAAGTCTCAGTCGGGGGCACTCACCTGAGTGTCCTTCGTCGTCGTAGTATATCGATATTGACCCCTAAGGTCTATCCAGTAATGCAGTGCTGCGTCGCTTGGTATACCGCCCCAGCCAGGCTCCGTAAACAAGTAAGGTCGATAAGGTAACGAAGTAGAGAAACAAGGCCAACTGAGTACGTATACTCAGTTGTTGGTTTAGTGCTGACGAGTCTGAACTAGAAAGGTAACCAATGCTTGATTAACGAGAATAATCGCGAAGAACTAAACTAAGTACATGAATGAGTGTCCTTATATATCCTTCGCTGTATACCATTTATGATACCATCTGTGGTAGATGGTTGGTCGCTCCGACATACCATTTCGTATACCACTAGTAGTAGTAGTAGTAGTAGTAGTAGTAGTGTGTGTGTGTGTGTGTGTGTGTGTGTGTGTGTGTGTGTGTGTGTGTATCTATTTTACGTCGGGGGCGGGTCTTTCCACGCATCCTTGGTGTGACGGTCTCGAGCAATATGAATATATTGGTAGACTATCTGACGAAATTCTAACATGAGGAAAGAAAGGAAAGAGGCAGGCCTGCCGGCGACGAGCTATCTAGTGTGCGTGAGGGGTTTAAGCGATGCTCAGTGAATGTTCTACACCAAATATGCTGTGCAGCTCGCGAGCGTCCATGCTCCGTGACACATACCCAGCCAGGGCCAGGTCAAGCATTAGCGATCCAAGCACATGCTATAGCCAAGAGATTGCATGCCCAAGGTCATCACCCCACTATCCAATGAGTTCCGGGACACGCAGGGGTAGAAGGAAATGAAAGAGCTGACCAGGCAGCAAAGCAGGCGGCTGGTAAGCCTCCGGGAAGAGGCCCAAAAGAGATCTCTCTGGCCTTTGCCTGTAGAGCCCGAACAGAAGCTGTTACAACACGGAAGCAGAGATGGCTCACTAAGGCGCTCAGCCAGCGATCCCAACAAGGTCAACAAATATACAGGCCGCAGAAGAACTGGCAGCTTGACCCTACAGCTGCAGTAGCCCCCAAGCACCTGACAAGCCGCTATTTTCAACTGAAGACAGGACATGCAGCCATTGGAGCACACCTAAACCAGATCCAGGCCCAAGAAGATGCAACCTGTAAAGGGTGTGGCTTATCAAGGGAGACAATACACCATATTTTCTTTGAATGTCGGAAATGGTGACACCAATGAAACAAGCTCTACAAGGATCTGGAGATGGATGGGGTTATGAGACCCACTGCTGCAGAGGAGCACCCGCAAAGACGACTTTTAGGAGAGCCCAGAGCTACCAGGGCGCTGCTACAATTCTTAGCCAACACCAGCGTAACTCTACCTCAGGGACATCTACAACGGGCGGCGGGAAGAGCCCGGAAAGACGAGGAATGGGGACTGGAAGCATTGGAAGAGGCAAGGAGAAGAGGAGAAGGGTAGCAGGGAGGGTAGCCTAAGCTGAGATTCAGATTAGGCCACACCCACCCTGCTCCAAAACACAAGGAGAGCACTCTGCTCAAAAGCCCTGCGCATACAGGCGGTCTGGGGCGAGGAAAAGGACCAGAAAGATTATAGAAGGGGGTGTTGCCTCAGGAACTTATAGGGACATGAGACCGTAGAATAGCTGCTGGCCTCGAGTCCATGAAACATGGTCTGTCATAACTCTAGGGCTCGGTAGCTATGGACAATAAATTTGATTAAATAATAATAATAATAATAATAATAATAATAAGGGCCTGGAGTTCACTACCAATCTTGGTGTCCTAGGGTCGGATGGTTCGACCTAGCTGTCACGGGCTCGGAAACTAGCAGATAAAACGAATAATATTCATATCTAGACTAGGTAGCCTAACGACGAGAATATCGAATCTGGGGAAGAGGAAGAAAAGGAAATCTATCTAGGCGATGAACTGTCTTTATAGGCATTTGTGTGGTGCGGCTTAAGCCCTTGTTTGCCCATATTGCTTGTATGGCATCGTTTGATATGTTGGCGCTGTTTGTCTGGCGTTGAGCCGTTGAGCCGTCACACAAAGGAGACTATCTACTGTTCATGTGCTTCGCTTGTGGGAGGGCTAGGGTTTTGCCATTTGTATGGTCGCTTGGCATCGTTTACACCGTTGGCATTGGCGTTGGCCGTCGACCGTCACAATATGCTAGACGGAGCACTGAGGTCTAAGTGTCTGGGAGGAGCCAAGGCCTTAATCAAAGCGAACACTGGAGATGTAAATAGCTTTCTGTCACCAGTGGAAGGCTGCAATGGCGACGCAGTTTCACATAGTCAGGGATAGTGATTGGTGTTAGGGGTTGAACTGAAGTTGTCTTAACCTAAAGCTACCCTTTATTATACAAGAAGGAATCGTTGAAGAAGAAAACAAAACAGAGCAGAGGCGGAAGCAATCTTTATGCTCGTACGGGAACAGTATTCCGGATAGTAATCCAGTGATCCCTCTCGGATGTCAGGAGTTGTACGAAGGGGTCACTGATAGCCCTTGTATGCCAGGGTTTGTTCGAAGGGTCACCGATAGTCTAGTATGGACCCCTTGCTGGTCGTGTTTCATGCTGGCCTTGGCCAAACTGTCATCCCTTGGGTTCGTACGATAACCCCATAACACCACAGACCTATAAATCTGCCTAGACAACCTGGAAGCAGTGCAGCAACTCCAGGGCTGGCCCACAGGGTCAAGCCAATCGATCTTCAAGCAGTTCCAAGAAGCCGCCCAGACATGACCACACTTCTCTAGAGCACCCGGAATACAGCCAGGCAGGGTGCAGGTGAAATGGGTCCCTGACCATACAGGCATTGAAGGCAATGAAGCGGCCGATAAGGAGGCCAAGATGGGTTGTCATGCTCCCCTGGAGCTCCCCCCACCACCTGCCTCATTAGCAGCGGCCAAGCGGGCAGCCCGGGGGGTGCACTGGCGCACCTTTGCACAGTTCTGGTCAGAAAAGAACCCCAAACAATATAAAGGATCTTGGGATAGGCATAGAGAAACGCCTCCCAGAGCTGCTCCTTCCACGAGCAGCCCTGGGCCGCCTCCTTGCCGCCAGGAGCGGCCATGATGACTCTGCAGAGTACCATGAGCGCTTTAAACATGAGGATGCCCTGCTGACATGTTCATGCAGTCGCAGAAAGGAGCCATCCCACTTTTATCACTGCCGCAAGGGTGTCACGGGCCCGGAATAGTAGATACTAACGAACTGAATTCCTATCTAAACCATTGTAGCCATCGACGAGAATATTGAATCTGGGGGAAAAAGAGAAGAGGGAATCTATCTAGAGGAAGAAGGGGTTTTATAGGCGTTTGTTTGACATCACCAATGTCTTGTCTGGCGTGTTGGTGTCGCTTGCCTGTGTCAGTCGTTGACGCAGCGTTGAGCCGTCACAACTGCATGAGGAGGAAAGAGAAAGATAATGTGCGAGGGGGTTCTAGGCCCTACTCTAAACAGAACAAAGGAATCAACACGATTTAGCGAGCGCTCATGCTCCGTGACACTCATTATCAAATATATGCAGTGGATTTGCTGCTGCAGGTCTAGTCCCATATAGACCTGAAAATGTGCTTGATGAGCTCCATATCCAAATGAAGACCCCTACATCACCGGGTAGTTCACATAGCAAAGAGTCATCTAGTTGGACAGCAGAGACTCCCAAGACTACCAGGCAACTTCAGAAGCAATCTGAGCTTATCAAACGCTTCTGGAGACAGCGTACACACAGCCCACCGAGCCCTATCAATCAAGCAGTTGGGCAAGTGGTCAAGGGAGCTCAAATGGCAATGCAGAACGCGCTGCTTTTAGAGCATGAGGTTAAGCAGCCACGTGCTACTAATAAATACCAAAAGCGCAAACGAGATACTACTAGGGACTTTATAGCTGCTGGTGGTATTCTGACTGGAGCAGAGGGTCAGCAACGCAGTTATGAAGCTGCTGATTTACTTGGGGAGGGGGGGGTGGTGGATGAAGGTGGTGAGAGACCACGAAAGCGAGCACCACCACGCTGCAGCAACTGCCATCAAATAGGACATATTAGATCTAGCTGCACTGCTAGATAAAGCATTATTATATATAAAAGTTGCCTTTTTTTACTTGTTCTGTTGCTAGATAACTTACTTTTTTAACTGAAGTAGGCGGACGTGCCGCTCGCTCGGTGTCCGATTAGTTAACAATAGATTTTGATGGGGAGAAAGGTAAACAGTGGCTGTACATTGTGGTGATCAATGGTTGTAGTTAACTATAGATCCCTTCGGTATGTCAGTCCATCTACACTTTTTCACGAGATGACTCGCAGAAAGTGCTCGACATGTTATGTTCTATCGTTTGCCCACATCAACGGCTATTTGCGTAGTATGTTATCAACTTCTTCTACTGCACACTCCGCTATATGCCTGAATCCCTGCGGTTCCAGGCACCTCCAGGCAGCCATCCTTCCTCCCGAAAGTAAACTTATAAGGGAAAATCCGTACATATAGTCAATATCATGAGGGGAGATGGTCGAAGGGACTCGAATCCGAAGACGCTGCCTGTCGCGACCTCGTGAGGTTCTGCGTTCGAACCCCCCTGGGCTCGCTGGACAGGTTTATACACCGGTGTAAAGCGAAACCGTTCTTTTCTTCTTTCTGTCTGTGACATTTACACTCGCCTAGCGGCTCTATAATTTTATCTTCTTCTTGACAGCATTCCTTCTACAGACGCCTCAGAAGACATCCAAGCCTCAGTATTCACCATGAGTTCCAAGCACATCACAGGACCTGCAAAACGAGATAAACGACTTGAAGGCGAAGAAAATGCGCCAGCATTTCGCAGACCAGGACCGTGTTTGTGCTCAGTTGCAACAAGGGATCAACGAGCTTAGGAGCAAGAACTTGGAGATGAGGAAACAGTTCGAAGATCATGATCGGAAATGAACACGAGCTACGCAGGGGAATTCGTTTTTCGATATGTTATTTAACATGTCGAATAAACGTACGACAAACGACCGGATGATATCAAGTAGAGTGGGATATTGAGACTCATAAGGCGATTCTGTTCTCGCTATTGCTCGCTTGCTTCATAGGAATATTTAATTGATTTAAATGACAATGGCATCAGTCTTTAAAGCATTCGTGCAGAAACAGAGAGGTAGAATCATTATGCATTACCCAGACTGAAACGAACCAAATAGTCATCATCGACTTATATATAAATAGCATAACATGAACAAAAACATCGTGTACGTCTAAACATCATCAACAATCACTATCCATGCTCCACGCAGCATTCCCCATGTTCGCATTAGAGCCCATATCACTAGGCGCCTGACCTGGAGGCATCGGAATAGGCGACGACGTGGGCGAAATCGACGACCATGACGGCGTCCGGATCGGCAGCGCCAGCCCTAATCCCTTAACACTGGTATTGGACCCATTCATCCCGTTCGCCGGAAGCCCGTTCGCATTTCTCAAACCTGCTCTGGCAATAGCTCGTCTGAGCATATCACCAGACGCATCTAGGGCAATCAGGAAGCGAGCCAGTTCTGCGCAGAGCTCCCAGTCACTTCGTTGCGATGCTAGCACGATTAAGCGAACGACATAATCTTCGATCGGTGCGTCGTCGCCCTCTAACTCGTCCTCGAAGGCTTGTAATACAAGGAGATAGCCAACGGCTGTTTTCAGGGAGTTGAGCTTCAACGCTTGCTCGAAGAGGTCTTTTGGTGGTGGGAGGTAAGTGAACAGGGTGCGCCACATTCGCAGTTCCGTTTTGCGCGTGCATTGGACTACAATGTCCAGGTATGTTTTGGTTGGGAGGGAAGCTTGAAGGAAAGATATCACGTATGGGAGTAAGGGCTGGTGTTTCTGGGATGGGTCGCTGGTTTTGCTGCTTCGGCTTTCGTTATCGACTTCGTCATCTAAAACATGGTGGAGTAGGATTTCGAGTGCGTGTGCGAAGTATGAGAGATGGGAGAAATGTTGACTAAGTGAAAGCGCTCCGGGCATATCGGACTGAACAAGGCTGTGCTGGAGGAAATAAGGAAGGAATAGATGTGTCTATCGCATAATCTTAGTATTCTCTCTTCAGAGTACCAACGACAAGAACATACCCGAATGGCAAACTTCAAAATGGCAAAAGTGACATTTCGCCGTTGGATCGTTTCTGATTCCACTCCCAAGACGATGCCTTTATTCAAGAGCACCGACAGGGGGTAGAAATCAAGAGGAACCTCGATAGGCTTGGGTACTTCTTCATGTTGTAATACTTCTTTCACATCGCCCCAAGCGAGGAGATTCTTCCCGCTGAACGTCCAAAGAGAATCTCTCAGTGATTGATTGGTCGAGTACATCTTGAATGCCATGTCGGCCGAAGGACTGGGAGGAAGTGACACATCGGGAGCAGAGGAATCGAACGCAAATTGATCACGCATCAAGATGTAGTATTCCACGTCATTGGATAAGATCCGCATGTCATACTTCAAATCGCCCGTTTCCGAAACCGATGGCTGAAGAAGAACAAGGTTACCGTCGACCAAGAGAAGGACAGAGGCCACCTTAACATCCCGAGAAGGATCACCGTTTCCTGTTTCATTGTCAGAAGAAGGCACCCCAGAGAAACGGTCCAACTCACTCATCTGATCCTCAGGCAGGACCCAGCTGATTGCCCTCACCCGAGTTGGCGCTCGTACAATGCCGTTGAAAGCGATCTGCCCAACAGGTACAAGTGTGATATGGGAATGCGTAGAGTTGATGATAAAGTGGTATAATACGTTATCGTAAGTATAGACGAGAAGGGAATCTTCACCAGACGGTCCAATGAAAACCACAGGCGAAGGGAGGTATTCTATATGCAAGATGGAATTATCATCCAACGGCAGCTCCCGTGAATATAGACGTAGCTTGTCCATGTCAGCCTTTGACGGTCCTATCAGTCTGTAGGAAAGTTGGTCGTACCTCGTATGACCCGTCACTATCAATGGCGGCAATCAGAATATGCCCATACCAGCACATACCACCTCGGACGGCAAATGAGTCTTCTACCCTGGGGTCCTCAAAGACCTTCCAGCGGCCACTGTTGACACTGTAGTGTGCTAGACCCCGTCGACCCGCAATAGCCACGTATCTCCCGTCCTGGGAAACGACAGAGGAACGGATCGGCCATTGGGAGTGCAGGTAAGTTGGTGGGTATTGCGCATGATGCCATAAAGAGTCCTTGCCCGAGATGGTTATCAGATCCGGTAGATCATGGCCGCGATAGAGAATGATTTCCGTGCTTGTTTGTAGCAAACCTCTGGCTAGATTTGCAGACGAAAAACAGCCAGTCAGCGCGCTTCGTGCTGTTTCCAATATCCACAGACGACGATCAGTCTGTCTTGTTAGGATGATATCTGATCCCCCGCCTATCCAGCATCCGTTCGAGACCCCGCTAAGCCAATCTTCAGCGTTAGCAGTAGTATGTGGACGGTCTGTCGAGAAGCTATTCCCGCCTGGCTTGCCAAACACACTCCAGGTCATCCAGCCATGTTCGTAACCGGCAAACAAGCAGTATCCATCTGGCGAGTAACTCATAAACGTCAATCTCCCAGTAGTGGATGGTGATGCAGGAGGCTGGAGCTTTTGTGAAAGCGGAACGTTTCCCATATAGTCTTTGGCTGTGTAGACGAGAACATCTCCATTTGTGCAGCTCACCGTCAATAGTGAGAACCGTGCATTTACTGCGACCCTGATTGCTTTCTCACCATCATCCTTCGGATCATGGAAGCAGTGGCCCCTAAACAACTTTTTAGTAGCCTCTGGTTCATTCTGCTGCTCCGAAATCCTCTGAATTCCATACGCCTGTCCCTCATTGGTTACCCATATCAAAAGGTTCATTGCACGGTCGTACACCATATCCTCAATCGTCGTTTTCTTGGAGACACCTAGTATCCGACCTAGGAGCTCTGATGAGGTCTGTGATCCACTGGCATCTGGTGTCCAACGGATACACTGGATAGCCGGGGGCTTCACAGTAGCCACAACTAGCTCATTATCCAAAGCCAGGGCCTTCACAATCCCCGATTCTATCTTTATGGCCATCCGAAAGCGAATGTTTATCTCCCGAATTGCATTAGCCTCCTCCCCGGCTGACAGACGGGCTAGCTGCTGACGACGCGACTGGGTGGACTGGTCAAAACGCTGTTGGTATACTCGACTGTTCGGATCGGAGGCCATCGTATAGGTAAGAAGATATCCATTGAGGGTCTGCGCGGCAAGGATCGTCGAATCGGGACGCATCAAAAGGGCCACGTTAGGTCCGTACGTTTTCATTGACGTCGCAGATCGAGCAACAGCAGCAACGACGGCAGTAGGCTATGAACACATCTCCAGTCAGCCACACCGCAGTACCAAAAGCACGAGAGAGAAACAGGCATACCTTAGTCTGCCAAACCGCAATGGACGAATCCGTCATCGTCGCAAACAAGTGACCACTGCGAGACACACAGAGGCCACTAATGGGCTCATCCGCCCATGATCCCGGCTTCGACTCAGGCCCATTACCGGCGTGGTCTACCGACTCTTTCTGCTCCGGAGAGCTCTCATTCTCATGGTCAACTGCTCGATCCTCATCGGACAAAGCGGGCGGAATTCCGGGGCCATTGACCGCATAGACCCGGGGGACACCATTGGGCCAGTACATGGCTCGATACAGGGACGATGGTCACAGCGAGAGAAGATAGCTCACATCGAGTCATCTTCGTTCACAACTAGCGTAGGGGACGTTAGTTACTCCGTCGGACTCGGGCTAGCTCCAGTCCCAGGATCGCGACCATATCCCGTTCTGCAAGTTGTTCTGTCAAGCCCTAAGATCACAGTAACTGTAAAGGAAGAAAGAGAAGGATGAAGAGACAGATAGTCGAAGAGACGTTCAGAAGCTACTCTGGGGATCGCCGAGCACGGGGTGCAATCACGTGCACCGGAGCTTCGCCCATACAGAAGGCATAAAGTCTCCCCGCAGCGCCGCCAAAAAATCCCCCGCGGCCAGTCTCCTTTTCTTTCTACTGTCCATTGATTTTTTGTTGATTTCTATCGTTCTATCCGGTCATTATCATGGTAAGAATGTCTGGCACAGTTTCTTCTACTGACAAGTATCAATAAATGGATACTGACGGATTTGCTTGCAGGCCCCCAACGATTCCAAGAAGCGCTTAGCGCTGGCCGTCGTCGATTTCCTCGGTTCCAGCTTGAAGGACGGCACTCTCACTGCGGATGACGCCGAGTCGATTGAGATTGCCCAGTCATGCATTGCGGATACGTTCAAGGTCGATCCCTCCGATGAGGCTGCCGTCAAGGATGCCGTGGGTGGACAGTCGTTAGCGAACATCTACAGTGTGTACGAGAAGCTCCGGAATAGACCGTCTGGCGATGCTTCCGCCACTGCCTCTGCATCTGCGTCCTCCAGTAGCGCACCAGCCCCGGCAGCTGAGCAACCTACGCCCAAGCCTGGCGTGCCCACTCCGGACTCCGACAGGTTGAAGGCTGAGGGTAATGCCGCGATGGCAAGCAAGGACTACGACGGCGCCATCAATTTCTACACCCAGGCTCTGGAGATCTCCAAGGCGAACCCCATCTACCTTTCCAACCGGGCTGCTGCTTATTCTGCCTCCGGTCAGCATGAGAAGGCCGCGGAGGACGCAGAGTATGCCACTGTCGCGGACCCGACATACTCCAAGGCCTGGAGCCGTCTAGGACTCGCCCGTTACGATATGCAAGACTTCCACGGGGCCAAGGAAGCCTATGAGAAGGGTATTGAGGCTGAAGGCAACGGTGGCAGCAGCGCCATGAAGAAGGGTCTCGAGACCTGCAAGAGGAAGATTGACGCCACCCAGGGTGTGGAGTCTTCCAACGCTGGTAACGAGGGTACACGTGGTGCTGGTACTGGTGCTGGTGCTGGTGCTGGTGGTATGCCCGATCTGTCCTCTCTGGCTAGCATGCTTGGCGGCGGTGGCGGCGGCGGTGGCGGCGGTATGCCCGACCTCGGCTCCATGATGAACAACCCCATGTTTGCGAATATGGCCCAGAACCTCATGAGCAACCCTGACGCGCTCGGTGGCATCATGAACAACCCGCAGTTGCGGTCGATGGCTGAGAACTTTGGTCGTGGTGGTGGAATGCCCGACATGTCCAACTTGATGAACGACCCCAACATTGCAAACATGTAAGTCCCGTTCAGGTACTACACTATAGATCATCAGATGTTAACGAATACACAGGGCTCGGAATATGATGGGTGGTGGTGGTGGACAAGGTGGTGGACAAGGAAACTGAAGTATAATACCTGTCTTGTTGGAGAGTTCTGGCAGTTGTTGCTCTTTTCGATGATTGTTATTCGCCTAAGTTGCTATTATTCACCCTGAAGTTTACGAGTTTATGGTAAAACCTTGAAGCGAATGGAGTTATTTGACGATACTACACTTTTTCTCGATTGCAAGACTGTTGAAGACGAGCAGTATAGTAAGACGATGCTGGACGGGTCCAGATGCAATATATTGATCAAGAGTGGAGGATTTGATGCTAAACCTTTAACAAGAATAAACGCCAAGAACCCAAAAACACATAAAACAGACCAGACAGTTCATCAATCAATACACCCATAAAGAGCAACCCGTTATTTTTGTGGAATCCTCCGTCTTCAAGACGAGTCGTTGAATTCCACGTGAGAACAGGCGGAACACATCATCAATACAAGAAAAAGAGAAATCAAATTAAACAACAATCATATAATCGTGGTTACTATCACAGTGAATAGCGCCGGTTCCGCCTGCTCTCTATTCGTATAGCCGATATTGTACAGTCAAAATGATATCAAGACAACCAAGAAATAGAAGGGATGAGAAATTTCATGAGATAAGGAACGCCGTTAAATCAAGAGATGGAAGGAAGAGGGAAGGGGCGGTAACAAGATGTCGTAGGAGAATCGAGAGGACGTGCGGTGACATGCATGAGGGAAAAGTAAGCTTTTTAAATGTAGTCACGAGCAGCCTTCTGCAGCTCGATCAATCTCCATCCACGAGTCTCCGGGTTGTTGACGTCTTCCGGAATTCTAGTGAGACCGATGGCATAAGTGACCAGCTGCACCTTGTCCTCCATACCGGCGGCAAGTTCGTTGGTCTTAGCATTGCGGAAAACGTGGACTTCCTGTGTACGGCAGGTGACAACGAAGACGGGGATCTCGCCAGGTTCAAGCATACGAGCATTAGAGATGTCGACGCCACGGATGTCAAGAATGCGGCCATCGGACTTCAGGCCTGCAGTAGTGTATTGTTGCGAAAGAGCAGCGTAGACATGGAATTGGGCGTCTGACAGCCAGAGCTTCAGCGTTTCAACATCACCCTTGACGTAGGCGTCAAGGACTTCAGGAAGCATGTATTCGCGCATTTCTCTCAGGAAGCCCTCAAGCTGGAAGTTGGGATCCATCTCTCGGAACTTCTTGATAACTTGTGCAGTTTCGTTTTCGGCAAAGAAAGAGGCGACTCTGTCAGAGATACTGCGTGCTGTGGTGATCAACGGGTTCTCCGACTCATTGTAAGTCTCCTTCATCGTGAAGAGCTTCTGCATCATAGGGTTGGAGTCACGGAATTCGCGCCACGAATCTTTCCACGCAGCGTCCTTGTGAACAGTGACGTTGGTACCGGCCCTATGAGAAAAAGGTAAAAATTAGCACCATAAGTTGCAAATAACGTGGATTTTGTGGATGACAACTCACTCTGGATCCTCAACCATCGGCCCAGCATTGCGACGCCCAGACTTGGCCTCCATCTCTTCACGCAATTGCCGTTGCTTCCGACGCTCCTCTTTCTCAACCCAGCCGCCATAGCGTGAACTGCTACCGTCGTCGATGGCGTCTTTCACGCCACCAACAGCAGTCTTGTAAGCATCGGTCTCTCTCACGGGTCTTGTAGCCTTCTCGATACCGGATCCAGTGGCGTTCACACCACTCCGGAGACCCTTGACAACAGACGTGTTCCATGTCCATGCAGCACTCTTGCCAATAGCTTGACCAGTGGTCTTGAACGCAGTAGAAGTCCGGGAACTTGCGGCTTGACGGGAAGCCTCGTAAGCGGCACGTGCCTGCTTGATCCTCTCGTTCTCGGAGAATTCATGTGCCGAGGAAGCAAGAGCCTTTGTCGATTCGTTCCATTCCTTGGACGCCTTGAATTCGGTTTGGAGAGTTTCTGTGAATACTTGCCATGGGGACTTGTCACCGTGCGGCGGGGGAGGCGGAGGCGTTTCCTTCTGTCCTTCTTCCTTTCCTTCTCCCTTCCCTTCTCCCTCTTCCTTGGATCCCTCTTCCTTAGATCCCTCTTCCTTAGATCCCTCTTCCTTGGCCTCATCGGCCTGCTTCTCCTTCTGCTGCTGCTGCTGCTGCCATTGGGCCGTGGAGGCATGGAAAGATCTCGTCAGAGGGAGCGCCGTATACGGAGAGACCAGTCGGGAAATGGGACGGTTGACCACGGTCGTCCGGCTGTTCACGGCGGCATCCGAAGCTGTCGAAGAATAGGCCCGATTTAGCAGCTGCTGGGTGGTCACTGCATTCATCTTGAGACCCGACAACTGAGAGCGCAAAGTGGCCGCCCGCGCGGTGGCCGGCATCCTTGTAGCCGGAATCATGCTCTGCACCGAGATTATGGCTCGACTACAAACTGCAATTGATATCGACAATTCCAGAACCAATCTGGGCCCCGAGAGGTTGTAGTTGTAGAGCGGGACAAACAAAGCAGGGCGTGGAGGGGGGAGGCAAAAGAGGAATGATTGAAATTGGAGGGAAAAAAAGTGCAGTTGCAGTGCCAAGAAATCCCAAACTCTTCCGATCTTTTCCCCCCGAATCTTTTGCCCGCTGATTTATCACCACCTCCGCATCCATCCCACAATATGAATTCGCAATTCACGACTGCTCTAGCAAGAGCATTGCCTTCAGTCGGTCGACAATGCCAGTTCCGACCATCCCCCCTTCGCCTGGTGCGACCCTTTTCCTTCACTCCCCGGACCTACGAGAATGAGAAACAGCGGTTACGTGCGACTGAACGCCAGCTTTTCGATGCGCAAAATGAGCAATCTACGGAAGGGCTGTCTCCGATATCGACGCTCACGCAAATGATGCAAGGGCAAGACAAGCCTCCGGCCGTGACAGAGGATTTCGAGCACATGAGAGAGAACCTAGAGAGCGCTTTGATCAAACATCCGTACGGCGACAAGCAACCACCACACCATCTCCACGTTTACGCGCACAAACACAATACCATCCTGACTCTGACACGACCGAATGGCAACCCCATACTCGTGAGAAGCTGTGGTCACTTGGGTTTCCGCAAATCCCAGCGTTCTGGTTATGACCCGGCGTATCAACTATCCACCCACACGTTCGGCCAATTGCAAGAAAAGGGTCTGCTCCTCGATATTCAGCGACTGGAGATTGTGTTCCGTGATTTCGGGCCTGGCAGGGAAGCATTCACCAAGGTTCTATTGGGTAACGAGGGGAGGAACATTCGTGGGCTGGTTAGCCGAGTCACCGACGCGACCCGGATCAAATTTGGAGGCACCAGAAGCAGAAAGGTCCGGAGACTGGGTTAAACTGTTATCTTTCTTTTATTCTTATCGATATCTGGAATGCTGTTGTGAACTGCGTATGCCTTGGCTTTCGCAGGGAGCAATAGGGAAATGGCACGGATTGATACGACTCTGATACTCAACACGAAAACGAATACCATGGCCTTGCATCTATCCGGATCGAATCTGTCCTATTCTCATGGAATGCCGGAGGGAATAATTGTCTGGATAGCTCTGGTATCCATTTCTGTACACTAGTCCTCATGTTATTAGTACAACGAATTTTTTTTTTTTTCTTCCTTTGGGAAACTCCTCTGTTCCAATTGACTCTATATGTATCGTTTTTTTCTTGTTCACTTTGATTTCTTTGCTTCCTTTGTACTTGTATATAGAAATGGCCGACCTACCGAATGCGGTATAGCGTCATCCCGATGAATCTGGAATCTCGGCCTCTCTTGATAGTGATAACAACAGCAACACTGTCCTCACCACCGTTCTTGCTGGCTTACCAGTCCTACATTGTATCTTTTTATTCAATTTCTACAGGGTACTTTAACCAGTGCTTGACTTCTCTGCTTAATCCTCCCACGGTCCGGTTAACTACTCGCCGTTCGGCACATGCGCCGGAGCTGCTCCTCATACCATCACCCCTCTACAGCAATCGGCGAGCAGCGCAACGCACCCCTTTCAATATTAGAACGAACGGCTTGATGAGTGCTGGAGATCTTTCACCGGGCCGCCGTCCAAGACCGTTTGGATGCACCCTCTAAACCCCTTCCTTCGTGCCTTCTTTCGAAGCACTGTTCCCGGGCAATGTCTGCCTATCGAGAATCATGTACGTTTTGCGCGCCGGATGGGGTCCATCCCAAGGATTGGTTCTGATGTCTGTTTTCTATATAGGTCTTGCTAGTACCGACGACTGAATCTCTGACTGGATCGCGCGATCGTGAGTCGAATATCTACTACTCCGATATCGTCGGTTCGGAAGACTTCCTGGGCAGTCATGTTCTACGCATTCCGTTCTCTGCCGGGCACGCAGGTGGAAAGGATGATTTGAACGTTCGCGATAGTCGGGGAAAGGCAAAACAAGTATCAACGGTCAATGGGCGGACGGTGATCATCAAGGAGAGCTCGGTTTACAGCAACAAAGGTGGGGATGTCCTCGAATAGCTCGAGTGCGTGCAGGGGCTGACTATATGCGACCCTAGGCTTCAAATCTCTAACCCAGGCCCAACTACTGTCGGATGCCCTATACTACGCCCCGAATAACGAATCGCAACCATGGCTCATCTATTACATCTCTCGACCCTTGATCGGCTCCTTCGATCCCGGCAAGATCATCTCTGCCGCAGTACCTGGCATGCTCCCAAGCAAGGTCGAATCCGACGACAGAGAAACGAACTCAACTGGACCGGTTTCCTCGCCGCCCAAGAAAGTGATCAGAACGTTTGGCGAGCTATTGCTGAATTTCCCAATGATAGCACGGCAGATGCAATCGGGTCTTGACAGAATGTTCCGGGAATTTGGCAAAGAGTTGGGGAAACCGCTACCTCCTCCGCCATCGCGGTCACCTATGTTGGAAGACGATGAGAGATCAAGGGGCCGTACTGAATTGAAAATCGATGAAACAGCTTCGAGCCGCAGTTTATCGGCTTTTGGGCAGGAACCTTTGCCGTTCAATTCAGGGGAGTACTTTGAAGATGATGAAGACCTCATGCGTCGGAGCTTGGAGACCGCAGTGACTGCAGCCATCGACCTTTTCCGTCTTGTAGACAAGCAACAATTATCGTTCCTAGGGGCTACTACCGATCTCACCGGGCCTCTGGTTGAACGGTTGATCGAGCGGTACGTCGCTGAACAGGTGCATGAACTGCTCCTTTTTCCTCGACTTTGCAGCTTTCGGAAGTCTGAAGACGCAGACTTAGATCATAGGATTCGTCAGATGGAAAGCGTCGATATTTCGCAAGTTGGGATCACTGTCAAAGGAGGCCGTGACGGCAAGAGAGAATTACTGCAACGTCTTGGGAGAGGAGTCGAGGAGTTTCGGAAGATGTTGGATGCGAAGTGTCCTCACGATATGCTGGGCACACTTTTGGAAACGGTCAAAGTGATATCGTTTCCCGGAAACTACGACAAAGCTGGTTCATCGGCTTCTGAGAAGAAGACGGCGCCAGTGATGGTCAACGCTGACATCTTGGTTTCTTTATTGCTTGTTGTGGTCATCAGATCTCAAATACGACATCTTCAGGCCAGGCTCCTTTACATGCAGCATTTCATCTACATCGACGATGTCGAGAGTGGAGAAATGGGATATGCTTTGAGCACTCTTGAAGCCGTTCTTACGTATCTTTTGACGGATTCAGCGGGTCTGCGAAGATCGAGTGTCCGCAACAGGCGTTTGTGGAACGCGACAAAGGCAGGCAAAGTCTCTGATATGAAGGCTATTCTGGAACCCGGCACTGACCACGAGTCGCTGGATGACGAAATACCCGTGGAGCGAGAAGGCAAAACCGTACTCTTCAAGACAGATGAGGATGACAAACATTCACGAGATACTTCGTCCGTGCACAGCATGCCAGCCGGTTTCTCAGAAGACGATGAACCATCATCATCTCATATAGAGGACAGTCCATTATCTGAAACGCCACCATTGGCTCATGTGTTCCCCTTCCAGACATGGACCGGCAATACTTCTCCTCAAAAGGAGACCCGGCGTCCGCCGAAGAGGGTTTCCATGGATGTACGCAGTTTATCCTCCTCGTCAGCTGTCTCATTCGCTTCAAGGACAACCACCATCGGATCGATGACAAGCACAATCGAAGCTGATAGTTCGATCGAGACGTTGACAAAAACGCAGGATCCTGCCGGGTATTCAATTCCGATGATGGCCGTCGAGAGTCGTCAGCCCGAGGCGTTGAAGTATCTGCTAAGCCTTGAGGAATATTACCCACTACAGGATATCCTTACAGACACAAGCACTGAAGGGACGACGCTGTTCAGTGCCGCTGTCCAGCTGGGCCACACAGAAGTGGTGAATATCCTGCTTGACTTCCTTTTCAAATCGACCGACGAGAGCACGATCGTGTCCTACTTGAAGAAGTCGGATGTACATGGACGCACGGCTGCCCACTACCTTTTCAGCACGCCATCTGTCATATCTACTCTGGGAAACCTCCTCCCCTGGAAGCAGCGCGACAAACACGGACAAACGCCACTTTTTGCGCTCTGTAGGTCTTACGACCATCCTGATTACAAATTTATGATCAATGATGCATTGAATGCCGCGCGAAATGCCCAGAGAGATGGTAAAGCGATACGTCTTGACGACCACGTCGATTCGAGGGGTAATACGTTGCTTCACATAGTCAGCGATCCCGAGGTAACTCTACGGATCCTCGAAGGAAGCGATTGCGACCCGAACGCAACCAACGAGAAGAAATTCACGCCGTTAATGACAGCAAGCAAGTATGGTCGTATAGACCAAGTTCGACTTCTCTTTATGGATCCCAGAGTGGATGTCCATCTCAAGGAACTCCGTGGATTAACAGCTGTCGAGATCGCCAAAGACGACGAAGTACGGAATCGCATCGACGACTTAATACTCCTGTCGAGCCCTCCATCAGCGTACGATGATCCGTCAGACCGTGTCACTACAGTGGTGCGTTCGTTCTTCGTTGAAGATGCGACAGTCCGTTTTGTTCTGAAATCCGGTGCACCCCACCCCCCTGAGGAAGAAGTAGAATCCAGACCCGGCTCCGCAACATACACAGTCACCACCTGTCGACGCAGTTTCTCCGATTTTGAGAACCTAGCCAAGGGTCTCTCACTCGAGCACCCTGCCTCCTACATCCCGTCACTCTCGCACTTCCGCAGCCCCTTCCAAATCCACTCCAAACCGTCTCGAGCCGTCCTTCACGACATGCAGGAAAAGCTCGACCGGTTCCTAAAGATCCTCCTCACTCATCCAACCTTCTCCACTCACGAAATGCTCTGGGAATTTTTCCTCGTCCCCGAGTTGCACCCCGACATGATGGCGGATCGATCTCGCCAGAAGGCAGCAGCTCTTTCCGAGACTATAGCTGAGGACTACACACCTGCTACGCTCGAGGGAATGCGAGAGACGGAACAATTCGTCAATCACGCACAGGAGATAGTCCGCGCCGTGCACGCCAACACACGCAGTACCATCCGCCGCGGACACTCCCTGCACAATGCCGCCTCAGACCTCGCGGACGCAGTCACCCTCTGCACATCCGTCCTCTCAACTCTAAAAGAACCAACCAACGCCCTTCCCCCATCCCACATCGACGCTTTCGCCCGCTACGCAGGGTTCCTCTCGACCTCGACTTCGGACTCCTCCCCACTCCTGCAGTACCTCACTGCCCTAACCTCCATCGACAACACCACGGCGGCGATCCTGTCTGCGCTCTCCCGGCCCATAAACCTCATGTCCACACTTACCACTACAAACAGGACCCTTTCGCGCACCCACTCCTCACTCGTTTCTTCATCCCTCCCACGCAGATTCAACCTCAGTTTCCCGGGCCTCGAAGAATCGCGCCAGAAATCCGTGCGAGACCTCGAAAACAAGATCAACGACTACGAAGCACAGACCGCGCAGCTTTCGAGAGAGATTACCTGGAATAAAGATGTTGTTGTTAGCGAGCTTGCCGGCTGGACGTCGTGGCGGGAGAAGGTTGGACGGGATGCGATAAAGGCGTTTGCGAGGGATATGCTTGTTAGAGAGCGGGAGAGGGGGAAGAGGATTGAGAGGTGCTTGAGAAGTGTTAGAGAAATGGGCTCTTAGGTTTTATCGTACTTCTCTGTTGCTTTGTTTCAATTTCTTCTTATTGTTTAACTATGGGTTTTAGATGGACTGAGTCCGGACATGCTAATGAAGTATGAATATATTCCACTCTTCTTGATGAGAAGACACGCCTTGCTGACTTGGACTCACCATCAATGTTGATTCCTAATTGACTGCCACGTGCCTGTTAGGACCCTCGTCACAAATCCGTAGCTTTTATCTCCATATCTCTACTAGACATTTTATCCTATATAGCATCGATGTAGCATACACCAAACACTGACATATTAGTCTAATTGGCTATACAATATCCTTCTTACTTTAACCTAACCTTCTTGAAATGCTTTCCGCATCGATCCGAGCCAGTTTCAAATCAATCGTGGCTTGTGCAAATGGGTCTCTCATGCAGCGTTCGACAGAAAAACTATTACTTCTGTTGAACTAAACTTTCATTAATGGACATTGCAAACAAAAACGCTGATTTGCTCAGAATCTGGCTTAGCTAACAACAGCGCTGGATGGTTTTATCAAATGTAGGTACACACACACACACACAGCTCCCCAGAGGCTACACATACTAATGGCTGTTCTATACCCGCAAGCATTTGAATTCAACTGACGAGTTCTGGTTATCACGTTGTGCCAGTCTTCTTCATCGAATCGGTCTTCATCGGGATCTTGCCAGACATGGCACACGACAAACCACCTCAAACTCCCACGTACGGGAATCTGCTACTGGTGAAATAGGGGCCATTGACAACGAAAAAGTCACTCAAAACGCTGGACGGACTAGGAAAATACATTCTAAGAATACATTCTAGCGGAGCCCGTCTACCGGGAGAGTACCAAGAGTACAAAATGAGATAGAGATTGTTTCGATTATTATTCGCTCCGGTGGCTGTTATGACAGTCTGAAAATTTTGCTGATATCATAATCACATGCCCCAAGGTACGTTCTGTATGCTGTCTTTCTTAGCATAGCAGATGGAGAATACTCTAGTGAAGATTACTCGATTACAGCGGATGTATTATCCTTGACAAACACTTCAATGCCATTTACCATTCCTAACAGGTAAAGGGAAGCCTAAATCAAACCCCAGTAATAGCAAAATGAACGAGAGAAACTATATAAGACCCAATGTGATTCCCAACCAAACCCTGATTAGAACCCATATAACATAAGAATAAACACAACCACCTCAGCCACGAATCATAACGTTAACAAAGAACTGGAAATAAGCGGACAATCTATTCATCATCAAAAGTGAACAGAGGAGAGCTCGACCGTTGGATCCTTGGTAGGAAAGACACCCGATTCGGATTTCCATACGGGCCCGGATCAGAATACCTGGTGATCCTGCTCTCATTCGCGGTTGAGTTTCGAGAAGGAAGGTCGCCATCATCCTGCGAACCGCGCGAAACGGGCTCATAGCTATATTGCTGTAGTTCCGTAGTTGCGGAGAACGATCTGACACGGTTCAAAGGATTCAGAGGGGTCGGTACGATAAGGACCGGTTTCTGAACAGACTCGCGAAGCTTGCCAGTGGGAGGAATTACAGGTGGGCTCATGTCGACGACTTTTTCTTGCCCCTCATTTTCCTGTTCATTTTCCTGCTCCTGCTCATGAAACGCAGACACACGGCGAGGAAAGTTGTTGTTGTATCCAGTTCTAGACATACGGTAAACCCTAATCACCGAGCCCAATGCCGGATCTTCCTCGACGATGTACTCCGGAGGCGGCGAGCGTGGACGCGAGCGATCGATTTCGAACGAATAAGCACCCCGATCCGACTTGCTCTCCTTATTCAAAGGCGCAGTGGAAGACATCTCATCACCGTCAATGGCGACACCATCGTAATTAGAAAGCAAGCTCTTCTTGTCTCGTCTGCGCCGCTGGAAAAACCTCTTCACCTTCTTGAAGTACAGTGCCAACAGACCAACAAATGCCACAACAACAACGATGATGAATATGACCGCGAAAGCAATTGCGTGCTTCTCGGAATTCCAGTGCGGTACCAGGTTGACTGGCGTTGCCGCTGGCGGCTCGTCGACACTTTTCGTAGAGTTTGTAGAAGAGATTGTCTGGGTAGCATTGGTACTCGCTGTCCCGTTCATAGACATGGTCGTCGTCTGGACCGCTTGGTCGTTGGGTTCCGGCAAAATATGGTATTCCTGGCGTTTCACAAGATGGATACGCTTGATGGTTGGCTTGAGCTTGGTCTGGGATACCAGCAAGGAGTAGATGTTATAACCCGGTTCCCCTAGGACCGGGGTACCATCAGGCACGATTGTCGCTGTCGATGTCTCGAAGACCAGCGTGGAGGGCAACGATAACGTCTGCGTCACAGGAGCATCGCCAGTTGGGGACGGTTCTCTCCGGAAGGGTCGAGCGACAGCAGCGGTCAGAAGGCTGGCAAGGACGATAAAAATGAACGTTCGCATCGTGGACGGGATAAGGGCTGATTCGTATATGTAAGATGATTAAGAAATGAATGGAATGTTTCGAGTCAATGGAGAATGGAGTTAGTCGTACTAAGACAGATTATCGAAACAGAAGATAGTGAGGAAGAGAGGTAAATGGGGAGGTAGAAGGAGGAAGAAGAACAAGAGAAAGAGGTTACAGTTGGGGTCGAGATGGATGGCTTCATTGGGAAGGCACGTCCAGAACGCAGCTTCCCCGAGCGGCCCTCTCCCTCGGAAAATATACAGAAACCCTGGGTAATATATTCATGTATGAACTTTTTGATGTCTATTGTGAGGTTAGTAATTACACCTGCTGAACATATATTTAGAGAAAAAGAGCACTCAGGCCGGCCGTCTTCAAAACTCGCCAACGCCACTATAACGAGCAAAATACATGAGATATAGAAGTAAACAAATCCACCGTACGCCTGATGATTTCGTTAATCCAAAGACCGAGAAATATGAAAATGAATAGATGCAATAACGGCCGAAAATGAAGAAAACCATCCCGTTCAGTTACCCAGGTCCATACGACCGGATGCAGTATCGCCGACGACACCTTCGCCCCTAGTGTCCAGAGGATCGAAGTCATCCTCCTCCTCGGATTCACCCTCGAAATCAAAGTCCTCGAGATATTTAACTTCGATGCCAGCTCCCTCAAGACGTTCGATCATATCCGCACGGTACCGGTCCTGCCAGCGGGCAAGCGCAGCACTCGCGTGAACGCGGAATCCAAAGATACGGGGTTCGTAACGGCGCACGCTCTTCTCGGGGTCAAGAGCGGGGTAGACCTGGAAAAGAATGCTGTGGAAAGAAGACCCGAAATAGGCACCGTCGATGGAAGCATGGCGAGACGACTTGGGGTTGTAGATATCCTCGCATTTCGCGCAGAAGAGTTTAACTGTGCTCATGTTCGGGATATCGTGTTGACCCATAGGGAGCAGAGGGTGTCCATCACACATAACACGGGGACATTTGCCAAAATCGCCCCGTTTGTACTTATCAAGCTAGATTCCAGCATAGACTCGTTAGTACCAGTTCTTGGCGCAGAAAGGTATTATGGGCGTACCATTTTCGAGAGGCCCCGGGTAGTGACAATGTAACGAGCATGAACCAAGCCGTACAAGTGACGCGCTGACTTCTCGATCTGCTCACGCAAGTCATCGTCTGCATCGAGGTCGAAGACATCCGTCACGAGATCAAGTGCATATTGATAGTAAGGCACTTCGGTGTTCAGACCGGTCAAGTTGAAGCGGTCAGTCAGGTATTCCTCGTCGATCTCGCAGAAGTACTCATTGCCGCGCGAGGAAATAAACTGTAGAGCCAATTGTTAGCAACTGTGGGGAAATGACACGGGCTGTGTACGGAAAGGCCGCAAAAAGGAATTGAACAGCAGACGTCGAACACAACCAAGACTCGAAGAAATAGCCATATTCTCCCTCTTGCGATATTCTTAACTCCCGGACACAGTCAAAACATCAATGCCCTCCGCGGCCCAAAATACCCAGACAGGGAGGGGAAACAAAAGTCCACTCACCCAATCCCTCCAGTAACTGGTGTAATCCGAGTCCGTCTCGCTGTTAAAATCCTCCATCATCTTGCCGAATCGATTCCCGGACAAGCAATGCCGCCAAATATGAGATGTATTGTGTTGTTTGTTTTTCCGGCCTGTAGCAGTTGCTGAGAGAAAAATCCGGGTTGGAAATCCCCAGGGCAAGATAACCCCCAGAACCGTACAGCTGTGAATGATAGACTCAGGGCATCAAACTGATGACTGTCGGATGTAAATGCGACAGGGTGGACGTGTTTAGTGACAGAGCAATGTGGCAGCGTCTTCTCGAAATCGCGATGATGGCAGTGTGTGCTTCGTCTCCATGCTGTTATCAGTGGATCGTCCTGTTCGGGTTAGCGCGGGGCTGGCGGTGAGGTTATTTCTGTTGTTATTTCACCGCTTTCATATATGGATGTCAGGCCTAGTTTGCTGGAACCAATGGCTACGAGAACAAAAATGTGGGAGAGATGCTGATATAGAGATATATTCAATTTCATAAATGCAGCAAGATGTGTATAGTACTAAATATAATCACGACGAATAACATAAGAAAATCAAGCGAGCGGATATAGCTGTCAATCTGAAAACAACGCAATTACTGACGCACCGCGGCTTGGTCACACTCTGCTATAAACCTATGGATACCTTGCATACTGTCGTAGCCAGAAGTACTACTGGGAACGCCAGCACTGGACACCTCCGGGAAGTAAGCACGGCCACCAAGGTCACTTATGTTGATGCTCGAGTATTCCGATGGCGAATCTGATTTCCATGGATTCGAGCCGAACATATCTAAGTCTGCCAGAACAAATTCGTTCTTGATTTGCTTCGATGATGCTCGGGATGAAGCTGACTTGTTCTCCGAGGACATCATTGCCTTCCAGTCGACTTCTTCGGGGACCTGTGAAGCTTCACTCTGGAAAAAGCACTCCATTTCTGGCGATGCTGGAACACTGGGCGCAAATGGGAAACGAAGAGCCAGATCAGAGCCTGTATGGAGATCGAAGTCTTCATCCTGGACAATCCTGCCTCGCTGGACTCCGACTTCGTCGCAAAGGCGCTCGACCGTCTCCGCATCGCACCCAGGAAACCGCACGCGGATCGTTGATCTATCATGTTGCTCAATAGGCAAATCACCCAACGAACTCAGACGCTTGAGATCATTAAGCACAGCGGCAAAGTCCTTCAGCGCACGAGCAAAGTCGACAGAGAGCATGTCCATAAGACCCTCCGAGTTAAGGTTCTCAACGTCAGCCGAGGTAGACTTCTTCTGGAAACCGGCCATCGCGCCCATGGCAGTGATGGTAGGCGAAAGCTGAAAGTCAATGTGGGAACCAGGAGCAGTGCGAGGGATAGCGGTCATCTGGTGCTCAGCCTGGTCCTGAATCTTGCTCACGGCCTTGTACCGCTTGTTGCCGGAGATCGGGTCAATGCCATCGAAGCGGAGCTTCTGTCCAGAAAGGAAGAAAGCCCGCACACCAGCAGACACATTGTTGATAACCTGAGCAGGAGCAGCTGGTCCATGCGAGAAAAACCGCTGTCCCCCAACACGGCCAGCACCAAAGGCGTATCCACCCGCCGTACGGCCCAGAGTACCTCCGGTCAAGTTCGGACGGAGCGTCGACGCAAACGGCGCACGGGTAGTTAAACGGCCAACATTGGTGGCAACGCGGGATGGCGGATAAGCAGAACGCTCACCCTGGAGTCCAGTCCGGATGTACGAGATAAACGAACTCGCCGCACGGGTTGAGAAGGGACGGCTCCGGGCTTGGCGGATAGCAGCAGCACGGTTTATGGGCTGTCGAGGAGTGATACGCGCATACGCTGGTTGGACACGAAGTACCTGTTGAGTCGGTTCTGGTAGCTTGGATCTAACGGCCTTGTAGGCCTTCTCGTAGGCGAACCTAGCCATTGTCAGACGATAAGTATGCCGAGGTAACCGTTTAGGAGTTGACTTACCTAGCCGCTCTCCAAAATTTTGGGAGCAGCAAGTGCCCGCTTGAAGGCGCCATAATGACGGTTAATGAGAGATAAGTCAGTGACGATGAGATGATGGTTGAAGCATTCCGAGAGATGGAGAGACTGATGAATGAATCACTCCGCACGAGTGGCGGTGCAGGCACATGACCAAGTCGCCACAGTCATATGATTTGCTACTGTCCCTGGTAAAGATTCATGGATACTTCAAAGTTTTATTTTATTATTTATTTATTTATTATTATTATTATTATTATTATTATTTTTTTTTTAATGAAACTACGCATGATACAGAGGCAATGGAAATAATAATGGAGAGCATTGTATTCCATTTTATGACTTCATGCAAGTACATCTCCACTGTCCCACTCTAGGCAAAGCTAGCCGGTAGACTCTCCATAGTCGGGTGGCTGAAAAAATGGGAGATGGTATTTAATTCATTCAGGCATTCAAATTGGATATCTAAACCTCTATTTTATTGAACAAGGATATCATCGCGTAAAAGGCATTTACTCGTCATCACCGAAGAAGACCTTAATAGGGAGCCAGTCATCACCGCAGACCTTGAAACGGTCCTTCAGGTTGTCCAACTCGTTGATCTCCTCGGCGGTCAAGTCCCAGCCGTCAAGCTGGAAGTTACCCTCAATACGGGCCTTGTTGACAGACTTGGGGATAACACTCCAGCCCTTCTGGACACCCCACACGAGGAGAACCTGCTGGGGAGACTTGCCCTTCTTCTCAGCAAGCTTCAAGAGAGTGGGGTCCTTGTAGAGAGGAGAGTCGGTGGATCCAAGGCAAGAGTAACCGGTGGAGTGGATGCCCTTGGAGGTGTTGTAGGCGACCAGCTTGGGCGAGGGGTTGTTGGGGTGCAGCTCGATCTGGTTGACGGCGGGGACGATCTTGGTGCTGGGGTCGTTCAGGAGCTTCTCGAGGTTCTTGATACCGAAGTTGGAGACACCAATGTTCTTGGCCTTGCTGGTGGCGGGGATTTTCTGCACTTCTTGCCTGTATTCATGATTAGACCCTGGTCCAACGTCGGAATCTAGTAAGGAAAACATACCAGGTCTTGATGAAGTCCCAGTCGGGAAGGTGCTTCTTCAGGTCGTTGGGGTCAGTCGAGCTGGGCCAGTGGACCAAGTAGAGGTCGACATAGTCGAGGCCAAGGCTCTTGAGAGACGAGTCAATGCCCTCGGCGACACGGTGGTGCCAGGGGTTGTCGAGCTTGGTGGTAACCCAGATCTCCTCACGGGGAACGCCCGAGTCACGGATACCATCACCAACCTCGGCCTCGTTGCCGTAAGCCAGAGCACTGCCGCCTGTTAATATGGATTTCCTTCTGCAAATACCACCGGTTATCTCGCAGGGCACAACTCACGTGTCGATGTGACGGTAGCCAGCCAAGAGAGCGTTCTTGACGGCCTCGCGGACCTCATTGGGCCCGGACTGCCAGGTACCAAGACCAACGGCCGGGATCTGGGCACCGGTGTTGAGGGTATAAGTCTTCCTGTTGACAAAGTTTGTTAGTTTCCGGATACACGTGCGGAGTAGCAGGAGTAAATAGAGGGGTTAACTAACTTGGTGTGGAGGTTAGACATTTTGTGCAATTGAGGGTTGAATTCGTGATAGAGAGATAAGAGGTTTCAGAAGGAAGAAAGACAATTGTCAAGAAGAGAGGTGGCTTTTATAAGTAACCGCAGAGCCACCAGATCCGAAGGCAGGTCCATCCATGATGTCGGCGGAGGGGCTGTCAGTGGGGGGAGGCACATCATCCAATTAACCCAATTAACCGGAATGGCTGGCGGCTTATTATCCGTCAATTACCCCTCGGGATCCCGATGTAGTAACCCCCGATGCGACATCTCGAGGCTCTATTGCTCATCCTTCCTCATTTTTGTGTCCATATTCTTCCATCTCGTGCTGCAGTTATTTATCCGAGTTCTGTCTATGCGTCCCGTTTAGGAAACAAAATAACCAGCTAACTAGTTAACTAACTAATTACCGGGTGATGAGTAATTGCGCATTTTGGCTAAATTGAAATGGAGCTAGTGTCATCCAATGATAAGCATAGTGTCTCTACCGCCTCATTCTGCCACAACCATCCTCGGAGAAATGTCCACTCACGACAGCGCAGGGCGCGGCACTATCTCCGCGATTGAAACAACAAATTCTCAATCTTTCCCGATTTATCCGATCAAGATGTCTTCCGGCTTCGTCTCCGCAGGCACAAACGATGAACCGGTAGAGCGCGATGATGACTGGCAACGTGTCCAACGAGAACTCGAAGAGGAACGAAAGCGCAAGGCGGACCTGGGCAAGCAAGATGGCGGCAAGAGTCTCTTCGATGTCCTGGAGCAGAACAAGAGTAAGCTCTATCACTGACCGGGGGCATTGGGAAAGATTGGCCCGGTTTTTGCAGGATCGTTCTGGGCTGACATGTTAGGGGTGACATTTGTTGGATGATAGTGGCCAAGCAGGAAGCCTTCGAGGAGAAGATTAAATTGAAGAATCAGTTCCGGTCGCTGGACGAAGACGAAGTTGATTTCTTAGACTCGATTATGGAATCGACACGGGCCCAGGAAGCGGCTGTGAAGAAAGACACGGCGGACCAGCTCGAGGTGTTCCGGAAGCAGCGGGAGGAGGCTGAGAAAGCTCTCCTGGAAGACGGCTCTGCCAATGTCGTGCCAGCTGCTGAAGGAGAGGACTGGAAGATTCCGGGGCGCAAACGACGACGGGAGAAGAAAAGGGACTCTTTGATTCCCGGCAAAAAGCGGAAATCTACTGCTGAGGGTATTGGTGAAGACTCTCCGCAAACTGAGAAGAAAACGGAGGGAAACCAACCTTCCACGAAGGAAGAGAAAAACACAGAACCAGTACCTGCGAAGAGTGGCCCGGTTGCGCCTCAAAAAGAGCCACAATCGGCCCCGGGCTCTAACAACCCTGGGAAGCCCGCGGCGAAGACAACGAATTCGAAGCCACCAGAACCTCCAAAACCAGCTGCGTCTCTTGGTTTGGCTTACTACGGTTCTGATTCGGAATGATTGCATTACACGGTACGGACTACCGGGCATAGAGCCACTGTTTGGATACAAGGGAACGGAGCCTGTCCGTAATCGATCAACCGTGACTGCAGGACAGTTGCCAGTAAGAAAATGCATCCAAGGTACTCAATGAGTTGCCTCTTAATGGCAATTAAGAGTAATTTATTAATGAAGTTCATATCGGCGGTCATAGTCATAAAAGTGTGATGGTAACGCACAAAATAGAATATTCAGACTAACAGTCATTTATCCTTCGCTTCGACACGTAACTCCACTGAGACTAACTAGCTAATATATTATGCCATCTTATCAAGGTCCAAAGAAAGCACGAGTATACCGAACATGCTCAGTAAAAGTCAATATAGCGAACGAAACCCTCTTCATCCAAAGACATTCAACCTGTTTGAAGCGCGTCAGCCATGCCCTGACTTCAGTAAGATTATATGCAAGCTTACCTATCCGGTCTCTCATCCATAAGCATACGATAGCTAGGGCCGAAGATCCGATGAGGTTCTGGAGATCTTTTCCCGCGAATTTCTGTATATTAATATCAGCATCGGCATCAAGGCATGTACTATAACGAGGAAAAATATAAATTGAGACGTACAGTGGCATCAGTAGTCTCGCCAATCTTCTTGCCAACGAGCTTGTTCAGCCATTCGACCTTCCTATTGCCGGGATAAGCTTTGATATCGGGAATGAGAAGGTGCACCATTATGTTTCTTTCTCGTTTGTTCGTCTCTCGATTAAAAACTAGTGGAAATTATTGAGTATGAGACGAAAGAGATGCTCGATATGACTAGTCTGCAGCCTACAGCGGCTGTCACATCTAGTCGGGAACCATTTTGGGAGGTCTGTTTGTGTTACTGTATACAATATTGACAACAATCTAGCTTGGCTTTATTCTCATTACCATACTCATTTTACTCGTAGAAGCATCAAATCATGCAGCAAGGTCCGGAAAGCTATGGATCCAGATAAGTAGATCCGGGATACAGAACGTGCTCAGAAGAACCTAACATTCCGAACAACATCTTCTTCATCCAAATAGACATTCAACCTGTCATGAGAGCGCATCAGTCATCTTCTTTCTTTCGAGTAAAGCGGCGATACACACACCTATCCGATCTATAATCCAAGCGGTAACCATCGTCAGGACGCAAGATCCGATGGACTCTAGGGAGATTTTTTTCTGCAAAGGTCTGTATATTCTCATCAGTAAAGGCACATCTTCCAGTAAACAGTGAGAAGAGAACGGCATACAGTGGCATTATTAACTTTGCCAATCTTCTTGCCGACGAGCTTGCTAAGCCATTCAGCCCTATCGGCCTCGGAGCCCGTGATCTTGGGGACGGTGAGAGGCATGGTTATCTTTCTTTTTTAGCTTTCTCGATCAAATCTGACGAGTAGGGGATGGAAAAGAGAAGATAGAAAAAAAAAAAAAAAAAGGAGACGCCTATGGGCGATGTCACCTCTATTCGGGGACCATTTTGGGAAATATACCATGTTGCAAGGAATTACGGAGTATAAAATGACTATAATATGCTTAAGCGTCTTCATTCAAACTGGTCTGGATGGCATTCGCCTTATCACATTATCATACTCGTAGCAAAATCAAATCCAGAATAAGTCCGGGTATACAAAACATGTTTAGAAAAATCCAACACTATGAACAACGCCCTGCTCATCCAAATTGATGTTCAACCTATCACCAAATCCTGTTAGCCATCTATGTCTCCAAAACAGGATACTGTACTTAGCGGATACATACCGGTTCGGTCTAAAATCCATAGTCACCGGGTCATTAGGCTTGATGATACGATGATCTTCAGGGAGGTCTGTCTTTGCGAATGTCTATATTCAATCAGTATTGAGAGTCTTATTCAGTATGAAGTATCAACATACATTGACATCGCTAGTATTCTCACTAATCTTCTTGCCGACGAGCTTGTTGAGCCACTCGCCCTTATCATCCTGGGAGACTTGGGGAATAACAAGAGGCATGATTATTGTCTTTTTTTCTTATTTCCGAGTGTAAGATTCAGTTAAGAAGGGATGGAAGATATTCAAGATGAGATGGTTTGATATGGAGAGCGAGATCTCAGTTTATCTTTGAAGGTGACTTGGAGGAATGATGTCATATCTATCCCGAGATTAGCGTGTGGCAGTGCAGGTGCCGCTTGCCGTTTTCGGAAGCATATTCGTCTATTCTTCATTGACGTGCAACCACGGTAAATTTGTGCTCGATAGTGGTAACTCTAGCGTTATATATAATTGTAATAGAGAGACATGAAAAGACATTGACACAGAGCGAAGTTTATTGAAAGCATCAATTCCAGGTGTGGAGAAATGAGGGCTTTGGCTTCTATATTAGTGAGCTTCACAAGCTCGCTTTATGCTCTGTGCCTTTGATTGACTACTAATAGGACTATGCTTGGTAAAGATATAGAGATAAGGATAAATGCAATATGCTACTATGCCAAATGATCTATTTAGATCCGGTTTCAAGTAATCAATCCTTCCGCAAAGCATGAGGAATTCTAATAAGGACAAGTGGAAATCCCAATACGGATGATCCCAGCCTCAGATAAATGAGGAGGAATGAGAGAGAAGAAAAGAGAGCCATATGTCCGAGAGACGATGAAAGACTGGACTCCAAAATTACGCGTCAAAGTAGTGTTGGCAAGAGTAGACTTGAAGGAGCAGTTTTCCGTGGAAGAAGACCAAATACTAGAGCAACGGGAAGAGAGGGGGATAGAGAGGGAAGATGTAGATGCTTGGGCCCTTTTCACACATATACCACAACGACGATTCTTGTATCCCATATCTCGACCAAATCCCAGCAACCTGATCTACTCGTTTTTCGCGTGGTGGGGGCAGGGGGGAGGCGGGTTAGACAAACGTCAGTAAAGGAAATCATCACGAGTACGTTGTGTGTACTTACAATCTGGCCAGAGCCAGGGCCTTTGCAAACTGGGAAATGAGGAGGATTTAAGTGCAGAGGATAATCATCAAGACCGGGTCGAATCCCCCAACAGCGTTAATAAGACTTGACGGAATTTTTTAGAAGAACTTGCGAGCGAAGGCATCACCACTCGAACGCCAAGCACCACGGATCACTCAGCCTCACACATTGAGTTGCCTAGATAAACAGACACTGGTATGGGGAACAATCCCAAATGTGTTGTATGTGCCGCACTTAGAATCTGGTGTAAATAGCGCTGGTCGAAGTCCCCGACACAGTCTATAGTTTTTGATGACAGTTCAAAAGTAGCTTACCCAAGGCTCGAGGACTGGCGTGCCACCAGTGAATTGCAAACCACCCCCGAAGCAGGTTACCCTCGCTCGTTAAACACCTACTATGATTGCATTACTTGTATACTCCTATACTTTATTTACTGGTTCGTTCGGGTTCTCGGTGGTTGATGATATCCGCAGTACAGGGTCAAGTTGAAGAGAAGAAGATTTGAAACATAGCCTTATAAAAGATATATGTAACATGGATAGAACAACCGTGTGTCTCTGGTGTCTAAAGAAACAGTATGGGATGCCACTGCAATGTGCTGCAGTATTCACGCCCGAGGTATTACCCAGTTCTCTCACGAGCACTTGACCTCGCAGTGTACCGGCTGAAAGATAGGTTCTTAGGCCATGTAGACGACATTCTTAAGGACCATACCGAAGTCTAGCCCATATTTTTTGAGCTTCGTACCTTATACGTTGGACGCGTATAGCGGCCTCGTGCGACTGTGACCTTTGATTGTGGAGTTCGTTCTTTATATAAAGTGCAGCAAGACGGACCCAGACGGCACATCACCCCCAACGGCAATTGTTATGCCCAAGAAAAGTTTTAGGGAATTAAAAGATCCCAAATGGTCGAAAGTATCGAAGTCCATGTTTTTCTCTTGCCGGTGTACGACATGTACGTTGTTATCGTATGGAGCAAGCCGAACGTAGCATGTTGCTGTGGCATCGAAACTATAGGTAAGCATTCGTTGTAAGGGATTAGCCTGAATATGGGTCATCAGGATACAAAGCCATCGTTGCAGCAATACCCAGTTAGCGCTTGAGCTAAAAGTTCCGCAGCTTCTTGTATCAGGGTCTTAGGGCTATATGCTTCATCCTGGCTCGTGTGGTAACCGTGGTGCTTGAACTCTTGCCGGCCTGGATAGCAATTGATGGGCTGAGATTCAAATTGTCAGTGGCTATCTTGAACTTGGCAAGGGGGTTTATCTTCTGTATCGTTGTTGCAAACCAGACACCAGCACCATCGATATACAAAGTCACCATAACGGTTTGACCGCACTTACTCTTATGTACAAGAGCAGGAGGATCACTCGCAGATAGGAAGTCATTGGTAATCCTCGAGTACATATCCTTTTTCATCCATTGTTGGTTGTTTTCTAATGTAGCTAACAAAAACAAATAATGTAAGTGAAGATCTTCATAACACTCAAGGGGTTCCATAACTTATGCTTGTAAGCCGCAATGGTTTTCGAGGCGATTTTTGCGGGATTGGCTAGCCTCAGCCGACCTACCAGAAACTGGAAACAGTCGTCTTGGGGGTGGTTTATGGTGGGCAAACATTAGTATGCCGGTGAATCACCGCAAAGGAGCTTCAGTATTTACTCCTATGGTACAGTCCAGCTTTCACCGGCTCACTGTTCGAAAGAATGTATGGGAGGCCTGATAAATACAGCTCCCCAACTGCTTTTATGAGGCTTGGGTGAATTTGGGATTGTCATCCAACAATCTGAGATAATCAGGAAAGTAAATTTTGGATTGGCCAGATTGATATACTTAAAGTAGGCTCTCTTCATAGCCACAGACGCTCATATGCATTTATTGCTTTCTTAACTCCTGTTACTTTGCGTTCGTCACTTGAGATTCCATGCAAAAAAGCCTGGAAGCCCATGCTAATGCCATTTCCAACGAGCAAAGCACGGGACTCTAAAGATACTATAGCCAGAAGAAGATTATGGTATTGCGCCATGAGTTCTTCACGGGCTCGGTATTGTACAAGACCCAAATCCCTGTACAATTCTCAGAACAATTGATGGACCGGGCAGTGATTCAACAAGGGGTCCCATACAATTCAAAGTATCTCCGTTTCCGAGAAACAGGCATGTGCCATTAAAACAAAAACTATGGAACCCTTCCTACTTCCCCTAAAGAGGAATCAGCAATCCACTCCTTGAATAAACGCCTTACGCTTCAGGTTCGCGTTCCTCCTCTGAGGGTATTGGCTAGCCACTTTTCCGTTCAGCGGTGATGTTATGTGACGCATCTTTTTTTTTTTTTTTTTTTTTTTTTTTTGGGGGGGGGGGGGGGGGATGGTTCGGAAAGGCAAGCACGTACTGAATTTAAGAGATTCTGCAAATCGTACGCCAATAATATGGGCTTCCAGGCCCTCATCGGACTATTTCCCGGTCCCTTAATTGCTTCAAAGATTGTCAATGCCGATCTAGCAAGTCTACCCTCCACGATTCCTGGAGAATGTCTGACGGGAACAGGAATGTTACCATGACTTTGTCAATAAATGACGGCTGCTTGGATTCAATGACTCCCATTGCTTTCAGTCATTATGGCGGATGTAGGGCATATCATTCTGTTCCATTCAGCATGCTCATGAAGCCGTTAGACTTGCGCTGTTTTCCATTGTGCGGTTCGCAGTGTCAGTCTACGAAAACCACTGTCAAGTAATGTAGCTTTCGAAATAGAAACCCTGGGCGTTCTCTTGCTACCTCTATAGCTGGCAATTTACTAGCATATCAGCCTTTTGTCCCAACGCTCACGACTTCGCATACTTTGTATATCAGCAAGGCAACCACAATGGGCTTTCAGTCCCCGTTAGTGGTTTTGATACTTGTATTAAAACCGCAGTTGAGTTTGCAGAGGGCCTCGTCATTCTTTTGTCTTTTTTCAAGCGATACTTCATGTTCCTCTAGAATCCAGGAGCCAGCCCGTTGACGATACAATTCAACGAACCTTTGCCCAACTATCCAGAGATCAGGACCAATTTGGATAAGGCCCTTTTTTTATTTCCTCCAATGAAACCGTCTCCTTGGTGGTTCAGCTCTCAGACAGTGCCTGTTTCTCATCCAGTATTTCCTTTTCATCAACGAGGTACAACTCCTTTTGCAGGAGCTTATTGTATGCTATGAGGTTATCTTTCCAAGATTGGATGTATTCAATCTGTTTCTTCTTTTCATCCTCAGGTGTGATCAATTTGCTAACGAGTCCTATTGGTTTCAGCAGTTTTCGATACCCTAGCTGCCAAAGATGGTGTTCGATAGCATAGAAAACGTTTCTCCGTTCCTTTCACATGACAATGATGGTCAAACCCAGATAAATTGCAATGGATGCGCCGAGTATCAGCATGGCGTTTATCACAGGGACTATGGACAGAACTGCGCCCATTCTCGATGTTTTGCCAGTTGGATAGGGTCGGGGTTGGATACAAGGGCGATAGGGCACTTTTGCTGCTTTCTATAGGGAATTGAGCAGAAGCTCGTCGTCAGCCAGCGTCATACATCTGAGTTAGGGTTGAACATTACCAAGCTATTGGCACAAGAGAATCGAATTTAAAATGCAGGCAGTATAGATATTATGATAATGATGATAATACTCCATTCGGTAATTCGTCAATTGCGAAAGCAATCGCCCTTGCCAGTTCGTCGCCCTTCTCCCACGGTTCATCATGCTCGCCCCTCAATTGTAGCCAAACGACACGCCGAGTCGACGGCTCCTTCTGCGCTCCCCAGCGGTAAAGAGCATTCGTCATCGCATTTGCTTGGCCCCTATCGACCAAGCTGTCCTCTTCCGAATGCGCGACTATAGCCACCAAGCCAGACTTCCAACCACGCTCGACACCAGACAAACCATCTTCTCCTTTGGCGGCGGGCGATGCAGCATCCCAAACAGACTCATCAGAGCCAAAAGCACCCTCAGAGAATTCCTGATACTCAGTGATATGCTTATGGGTATCGCGCAAGAGTTTCACATCATAGATCCCCTCGGTTCCCAGGATCGCCATCGGCTGGGCAATACTATCGCCGTCACCATGTAGCTTCAGTCCGTCCATCACATATTGGAACGCCAAAGTAGCTCCACAACTATGTCCCGCAAGAAGATATCTCTCCCCGAAGCCGTAGGTGTCCTGCAGAAGCCTCAGCGCCGCTTGCACGTCGCGGATGTGATCCGGGTGTTTAACATTGCGGAGTTCGTGCGCATCCGTGGTCTGGGGGTCTTGTGGGTGATTTGGATGAGCACTGAGTCTGTGGTTGATGGACGCGAAGCCAGCGATGCGTGAGAAGACGATGCCGTAGATGGGGTTGGATTTGAGAATGGATGCGGCGGGACGGAGGAATGAATCGGCGGTTTGAGCTGGGTCGCGCCAGGCGCCGCCGTGGATGAGACTATACCAAGTTGTTGTTAGTTGGAATTATTGACTTGAGATGGCTGACGATTCTGGGATGTGGACGTACACTACCCAGAGGCCAGTCGGTGGTCCCTTCGGGACGGTAGCGACGGTGATAGTCTGGAGAGAGTGTGGGCCGTAGCAGAGAGTCTCTTCAACGAGCTGTTCAGACATGGTTATTCTGGGAGAAGCCCGATCCAAGAGGAGCAAAAGCGTAGATGTAAGATTAACGGAAGTGGGGGGAAAGCATTTTGCGTTATCATTCACTTGATATGTACTACCATGTCGGTTGATGCTGGAGCGAGATAACTGCCCACCAACCTGCCCCTGGACTGATTCACATGATATCCTCTTCACGACGAGCTTCTCTCATCCCCTAAGAAAGAAAATAGCCTATTGTTCCGTCTGAATTTTCCCAATTCGGCCAAGTTGAGGCTTAAAAGTTGCTATCTCTCGGTCTTGGCGCGCTAACCCGATTAGGTGCTAGGCGGTGGAAATTGTCTTCCACACAAACCAGCCCGACCTGTCCTCCACCACCACCGCTGCCAGTCGTCCATACGTTTGTCTGCGCTATATTCAAAATGGCCGAGTAAGTTCATGCTTAATGGTATCCTGTCTAGGGTCTTGCTAATATGCAACAGAAAAGGAGCTCCCCTCGCGGCCGTCAAGGTCGAGGCCCTGGTATGACTCCCCTCCGTGAAAGAAAAAATCACATACTCATACCCCACGCATATAGGTGGCCATGAAAATCATCAAACATGGTTCCCAGTCATTCCCGACCACCGCAACCGGCTCGATCGTTGGTATGGATGTTGACGGTACCCTGGAGATCACCAACTGCTTCCCGTTCCCCGTGGTCGATTTGCCCCCCGAGTCGCACTTTGATACCGCTGCGCCCAACCCGGCCGCTGCTGCCCCCCGTGCGAAGGCCAACGTGGCCTACCAGACTGAGATGATCCGGATGCTTCGCGAGGTTAACGTCGATGCGAACAATATCGGTTGGTACACGAGCGCGAACATGGGCAACTTTGTCAACATGAACGTGATCGAGAACCAGTTCTTTTACCAGAAGGAGATGAACGAGCGGACAGTCGCTCTTGTTCACGATGTCAGCCGTAGCGCTCAGGGTACCCTGAGCCTCAGAGCGTTCCGTCTGTCGCCCAAGTTCATGACTGCGTTCAAGGAGAACAAGTTCACGACCGAAGAGTGCGATTTGCCTTATATTCTAGTACAGTGAACAAAGCTGACATATCAAAAGGTTGCAAAAGTCCAACTTGAGATACCAGGACATCTTCGTTGAACTGCCTGTCGAAATCCACAACTCCCACTTGATCACTTCTTTCATCCACCAACTCCAGACCCCCAACTCTTCGGGCCCTACGGACCTCCCCCCATCTTTGGCCGCCTTGGAATCCAGCCCTTACGCCAAGTCGTCCGTCCTTACCCCCAACTTCGACAACCTGTCGCTCAATGTCGACCCCTTCCTCGAGAAGAACTGCGACCTTCTCTTTGACAGCATCGAAACCCACCACACCGAGACCAACAACTTCCAGTACTACCAGCGTGCGCTCGCTCGTGAACAGACCAAGATCAACAACTGGCAGCAAAAGCGCAAGACCGAGAACGCCACCCGTGCAACCCTCAAGCAGCCCCTCCTTCCCGAGGACGAATGGCAACGGTTGTTCAAGCTGCCCCAGGAGCCTAACCGCCTGGAGAGCATGCTCAACAGCCGACAAGTGGAACAGTACGCGCGCCAGGTTGACGGCTTCGTTTCGGCCACGACAGGCAAGATGTTTGCCGTCAAGGGTAACCTTTTGCCCGGAGAGACCGCCAAATAAGTTTAAGAGAGGGAAGAGGTGGTTGTCTCTTGGTATGATCTGTGTCTCATAACTAGGGGATTTTGGGTTTGCATATATGAATATGACCTTTACGGCGTAGGGAGGGGAAAACTTTTCTTTTTTACTTGTCGTTTTGTATCTGATTGATCTTACGAGTTTCTTTGTTTGCGTTATTCCGGTGACGAATAGAGTTACGGGATATGACCTGCATTATGTCTCTATGCTTTCTTCTTTCTTTTCCCTCCCAAGCTGACATTGCTGTAGAGCTGCGAATTGCCCTATATCAGATAGGGCATAGGCCACACGTGATGGTGGTGGTAATGAACATGGCGATGACCTCACTATTCCATCGTCCGATTAGATAAGATACCAGTCTGGTTGAGTTGCTTTCATTCAGGCTCTTGTTATTAGTTAGAATTCATATTCTTGTTCGATTCTCGTTAATATCTAATTGCCCTAATGTATAATACCAATACCGACATCTGTATTGTACGCATACAAGCCCTACCATCCCGCATTCACCTATACAAGCCCGGCACATAATATCACTGGGCTATATGCAAATACTAATTGCTAATACTTGCAGGCTGGTGCTGTAGCAGCCGTAACAGTTGACTTCTTAGTTTACCCCTTCGACACCCTCAAAACCCGCATCCAAGCCCCCGACTACGAGAAGCGTTATAAAGACGCCAAAACCGGAATCATACGACGTGATGTTCTCTTCAAGGGCGTGTATCAGGGTGTTTGGAGTGTTGTGTTGTCGACAATACCTGCTTGTACTTCCTTTCCTCCCTGCATCTACCTGGAATGGATATATATACAGTGTGCTAATGGATAATGGTGACAAACAGCCGGCGCGTTCTTCACAACCTACGAAGCCATAAAATACACACTCGACGAAACCAGCACAACCACGCGCGCCCAACGCTCCTCTCAGTCCCAAAACGAAGCAATCCACAAATTCCCTATCCTCCACTCCCTCCCCACCCCCATTGTCCACGCAATCGCCTCCTCAACAGCCGAAATGGTCTCCTGCCTCATGATCACCCCCGCAGAGGTCCTAAAGCAGAACGCGCAGGTCATCGAGACGAGCGGTGGCCAGCAGACTGCTGCGATACAAGTGTTTTCGCGGTTCAGGCATAAGCCGTGGAAATTGTGGAGTGGGTATGCGGCGCTTGTGGGGAGGAATTTACCGTTTACGGGGCTGCATTTTCCGCTTTTTGAATATGTGCGCTCGCATGTTGTTGATTGGAGGCAGGAGGAGAAGAGGAAGGATAAGGATGGGAATGGGGGTGAGTTGGGGCGGATACAGGAGTGGAATCCTGTGCTGGAGCGGGCGGTTTTGACTGGGTTTTCGGCGGGTTTGTCGGGGATGATTGCTTCGGTTGTTACTACGCCGATTGATGTGGTGAAGACGAGGGTTATGCTGGCTGCTAGTAATGGGTATGTTAGTGGTGAAGGTGGTGGTGCGCCTGGGCCAGATACGATGAAGAAGATAGGGACGCGGGGGACGATAGATGTTGGGAAGGAGATTTGGGAGAATGAGGGCATAAAGGGGCTTTTCAAAGGAGGGTTGATTCGGGCTGCGTGGACGGCAGTTTCACTGGGGTTGTATTTGAGTATCTACGAGGCGGGTAGGTTTTATCTCGAAAATAGACGGAAGGATAGGGATGGTAAAGCGCAGAGAAAAGAGGGCGAGGGTGTTATATAGTATCGCATGGTTGGCATTAAATAGAATGGATAGATTGCTTATTGAACTTATAATCAAACTCTTTATTAGGAATACATAGCAGTGGTATACACCGTGCAAAACACAGGAAACATCATAACTCATAACAAAACATAGGCGTATATCCAAACATAAAATCATAAGCATGAACAAAATCATCCAAAGTCGTCAAATCATTATAAGCTGTCGTATTAAGTTGGCCGGGCCATCTCCATAAAGAAGCGGATGGCACTATCCCACGGTGAACCTCTTCAACCAACCAGGCACGATTTTTGCCCCAATACCAGCTGAGGCACCATGATGCTCACCACTTCCAGAGCTACTCTTTCGTTCAGGTTCGGGGAGAGGGTCATCGCGTCTCCTCGGGCGCCTCTCTTCGATCTCATGATCTGGATGCCGCGCGCGTCTTCGTGCCCGCCGACGCAAGTCACGGCGTGCTTCCTCGTCTGACGAGATCGAGTGCGTGTTCAGTGTCTCGTCTGGAGGAGGTGGAATGTCGACTAATGTCGGTACAACCGGCGGCGGCTCCGGTGGATCATCGGCTTGGGAATGGACCCAGGAGGATATCTTTTCTCTTTTCCCTCCGGTCATCATTGGCGGCGGGTCATTAGGGGCCTCTGGAGCACGAGACCTGTGACGACTCCGTCTCTTGGCACCTTCGTCGACGGAGCGGTGGGAGCGGTGATGGCGAGGTTGAGGTTCGGGTTCAGTGTGGTATTGGTACTCCTCGGGAGGAAACTCGTCAGGAACCCTGTCTCCGGCGCGCGAGCGATGGCGTCTTGATTTTGTGCCGTGTCTGGACATTCCACTTGTCATCTTCTCGTCCTTCATGCGCCGTCGTTCGCGTCGGTCTGCTGCTTTCGCTTCAGCGCGCTCTTCAGCTTCCCGGGCCTCTTGTTCTTCGCGGACTCGACGCTCCTCGCGCGCAGCTCGACGAGCTCTCTTCTCCTCTCGACGTCTTTCTTCCTCTTCCTCCTCTTCTCGATGTTGTCTTTCGTGAGAGTCACGAGCAGTTCTTTCTTTTTCCTTTCGCCTAGCCCGTCTATCATCAGCGTCGCGAACTTCCATATCGTCGGGAGCCCCGTAGCGCGAAGCACGACGTGCTCTGCGAGCCGCTCGCCTAGCCTCCGCTTCTTCCTCCTCCGGATCTGGGAATTCTCCAGGAACACCTTCAGTTGCGAAACCCTCGGCATCAGTGTCTTCTCTTGCATGGCGTCTCCTTCTGTCGTCCCGCCGCCGGCGTCGATCATCCCGTTCAGGATCCGTCGCGTACTTGTCCTCATCGCGATGGTAATGACGGGACTTGCGCCGTTCTGGCACTTCCTGACGGGTCGCTTTTTGTTTAACGGATTGGAAAAATCCCATGAGACCCTCTTTCTTTGGCACAGTGTTGGAACGTTTAAGGCGTCGTTCTCGGGGTGGTGGTTCGACGAACGCTATATCGTCAGGTCCTGAAACCACTTCCGGGACCTGATCCGCATCACCCATAGCAACGTCGTCTGGAGGATCTTCGGGCCGAGGTTTTGACTACGTGACACAAATAAATCAGCGAACTGTTGATTATTCACTTAAAGATGTTTACTTACCTTTTTACTATGTCGCCTTTTCGGGTTCCTTGATTCTCTTGAATCTCTTGGCGAAGGACCCTCGGCATCTTCTTCATTCACAATGACCATATCATCATCACCATTGCCATACGAATGAGCCCCTGTGCAACGTTAGATACTGTTATAGTCGTAGCAAAAAAGTAGAAACTTACTAGATCTTCTCTTTAACGCATGCTTGTCCTTTCGCGACTTGGAGCGACCATTAATGCCACCATTCGCATCACCACCCAGGCCCATCATTCTGGCCACCTTATCAGAGACCATTGGTGGGTCCTCTGGCAGGGGTGAAGGTACTCTAGGCTCATCGAATTCCATAGATGGACGTCTAGACTCATGCCGTCTGTACGATTTCGACCGGCCGAAGGACTGTGGCCGTTCGCGGAGGAAGACGTTCGAGAAACCCATTTCCTTGTTCTGCTTAGCTTCTCGATGTCTTTCTCGTCGTTCCTGTCGCTCCCGTTCTTCTTGCTCAATTTCAGATCCAGATGACATCTTGCCTTCGTTTTCGAACCCTCGTGATTTGGAATGTCTGTTGGATTTCGATCGCCTTGGGGTGTCGACTTCTGGGTATTTGGAATCTCGACGACTTGGCTTAGTCGGCTGTTCGATGCGAGCCCGCTGCTTTTTTCTTCGCTTTTCGGGCTCAGGCTCAGGCGGAGGTGTTGGAGGAGTTCTGTGTTCGACTTCTGGTTCCTCCGAGGGTTGAGTGTCCTCCGCTGGTGGCTCCCTAATCGTTGCAGTCTTCTTGCTTCTCTTGCTCCTCTTGGCAGCTTTCTCAGGCTCGGGCTCGGGCTCCGGTTCAGGTTCAGGTTCAGGCTCTGGCTCCTGTTCCGATTCCGAATTTGACTCTAAGGAGACTTCTTCCGGCTCTGGCTCTGGCTCTGGTTCCGGTTCCGGTTCGGGTTCAGGCTCAGGGGGAGGTTCCACGATCCTGGATCTCCTCTTTTTCTTCTTTTCCACCTTTGGCTCCGGTTCCAGTTCTGGCTCGGGCTCAAGCTCGGGCTCTGGATCAGGCGCAGGTTCGGGTTCTGGCTCGATTACCCTGGATTTGTTTTTTTTCCTCTCTGCCTTTGTCAGAGGTACTGGCTCTGGCTCTGGTTCGGGCTCCAGTTCAACAGCCCTAGACTTCTTCTTCTTCTTCCTTTCCGCCTTCGTTTGAACTGGCTCGGGCTCAGGTTCTGGTTCCGGCTCTGGCTCCGGCTCTGGTTCTGGATCAGGTGCGGGTTCAGGTTCCGGCTCTGGTTCTGGCTCTGCAGGTTTGGGCGCCTTCTTCTTGCTCCTTCCCATAAAAAAGGGCCAGGAGATAATGGGCTCTGCCTCAGATTCCGACTCTGACTCCGGTTCTGGTTCAGGAGCAGGAGGCTCAGGCTCAGGCTCCTGATCTGGCTCTTCTTCTGATGGATCGGACTCTGATTCGGGTTCAGGCTCAGGTTCAGGTTCAGGTTCAGGCTCCGGCGCAGGCTCTGGTTCTGGTTCGACAGGCTTGGGCTTCTTCTTTTTACCCTTTGACACAAAGAACGGCCAGGTGATGATGGGTTCTTCCTCAGATTCCGACTCCGGTTCAGGCTCAGGAGCAGGGGGTTCAGGCTCAGGCTCAGGCTCCGGTTCGGGCTCTGGTTCTGGTTCCGGTTCTGGTTCCGGTTCAGGCTCTGGCGGAGGAGGTTCAGGAGTAGATTTGGACTTCTTCTTTTTCTTCTTCTCCGTCTTCGTCAACAGAGTTGGCCAGGGGTCGGACTTGACCGTTTTAGACTTTCGTTTTGGCGGTGGAGCAGGCTCGGGCTCAGGTTCAGGCTCCGGTTCTGGTTCAGCAGGCGGCTCAGATTCAAGCTCGGGTTCGGGCTCAACTGGTTTGGACTTCTTCTTGGTCTTTGTTGACAGGAATGGCCAAGAATAGATAGGTTGCGGCTCTGGCTCTGGCTCTGGTTCTGGCTCTGGTTCTGGCTCTGGTTCTGGCTCTGGTGCAGGAGGCTCTGGCTCTGGCTCAGGTTCAGGTTCAGGTTCAGGTTCAGGTTCAGGAGCAGGCTCAGGTTCTGCTGGAGGTGGTGGTGGCCACTCAAAATCTACCCCAGGGACTGGAAGACCTCTCTTTTTCAGTGATCTTCCACGCCTCCTCTTGTCAGTACTTGAGAGATTATCCCAGTTATCATAGAGAGGGTGATCTGGCAATGTGGGTGCTGGCGCTGGTTCTGGTTCTGGTTCTGGTTCCGGTTCCGGTTCCGGTTCAGGCTCTGGTTCAGGCTCGGGTTCAGGCTCGGGTTCAGGCTCGGGCTCAACTGCTTTCTTCTTCTTAGTCTTCTTTGGCTTTGATGAGAACAGCGGCCAAGATAAGATGGGTTCAGGCTCCGGCTCCGACTCCAGCTCTGGCTCTGGTTCTGGCGCAGGTTCGGGCTCAGGTTCAGCAGGTAGCTCAGGTTCCGGCTCAGGAGGCGCTTCAGGAACAGTTTCGAGTATCTTGCCCTTATGCTTCTTTTTCTTGTCGGTTTTGGACAACAATGTAGTTGGCGGAGCACGCGATGAAGTTGGTTCTGTTTGTGGGTCCGGCGGTGGGTCTGCCTCGTGTTCTGGCTCTGGCGCGGGTTCCGGATCAGGGGGCGGCTCTTCGGGGTTATCGTCAAAGGCGTCCGGAAATCCTCCGGGCACTGAATCGCGCTCCACCGCCTTGAACCTCTTGGACGGCTCAGGTATTCTCGACTTGGATTTCGTTGGCGTTTTCTCCTTTACCTTCTCCTTCCTGGCTTTTTCCAAAGTCTTAAGAAGAGACGTCTTCCCCGATGATTTGGACCTAACGGGGATCTTTGTTGGCGTTGGCGGGGCGGCTGACGCGTCTACCTCGACTGCAGCAGGCGCGGGAGACGCCTCAGGTTCGGGTTCGGCAGGTTCAGCGGGCTCTGCTGGTGGCTCATCGCCAACATCAACGAGCGGTTCTTCATCAGGTTTCGGCTCATTTTGCTCCTCTTCCTCAGGTTCCTCTGGAATGGTTGGCGTCTCGTCCTTTTTCTCGGGAGTCGTAGAATTCTTAATGCCCATAGCTGCAGCACTAAGCGTCGCCCAGAACCCTTTGGGACCGTTTGATTTGGAAGACTCCTCCGTCTTCTTCGGCGGCTTCGAAGGAGTATTCCATTCGTCGTAGTACGGATCACCCAGATGATGTTCGGGAATAGGTTCAGGATCCCCGAACAGACCCAGAGAGGGTGGAGTAGGCGCGGGAGGTGGAGGTTGCTCTGCGTATCTGCCGTTCTTGCTCCTCTTCTTTTCTTGGGGAACAGACCAAAGACCCCAGTCGTCAGTGGGTTGCTCATGCTCAGGAGATTCTTGTTCTGGTTCCCCGGGTGGTTCATGCTCAGGTTCCGCTGGAGGAGGTTCAACAGGCGGCCAATCAAAATCCACTCCAGGAATTGGGAGACCTCTCTTCTTCAGTAATCTCTCACGCCTCCTCTTATCAATACCTGAGAGATTATCCCAGTTATCATAAAGAGGGTCATCTGGCAAAGTTGGTGCTGGGGGCTCTGGCTCTGGTTCGGGCTCAGGATTTGCTGGAGGTGGCGGCCACTCAAAATCTACCCCAGGGACTGGAAGACCCCTCTTCTTCAGTGATCTCTCACGCCTCCTCTTGTCAGTACTTGAGATATTATCCCAATTGTCATAGAGAGGGTTATCTGGTAAAGTCGGTGCTGGGGGCTCGGGCTCAGGTTCAGGAACTTCAGGCTCAGGCTCAGGCTCAGGTTCCGCTGGAGCAGGTGGCGGCCACTCAAAATCTACCCCAGGGACTGGAAGACCTCTCTTCTTCAGTGATCTCTCACGCCTCCTCTTGTCAGTGCTTGAGATATTATCCCAATTGTCATAGAGAGGATTATCTGGTAAAGTCGGTGCTGGGGGCTCGGGCTCAGGCTCGGGCTCAGGTTCAGGAACTTCAGGCTCAGGCTCGGGCTCAGGTTCAGGAACTTCAGGCTCAGGCTCAGGCTCAGGTTCCACTGGGACAGGCGGCGGCCACTCAAAATCTACCCCAGGAACTGGAAGACCTCTCTTCTTCAGTAATCTCTCGCGCCTTCTTTTGTCAGTACTCATGAGGTTATCCCAGTCATTGTAGAGAGGATTGTCTGGTAAAGTTGGTGCCGGGGGTTCAGGTTCAGGTTCAGGTTCAGGTTCAGGCCCAGGTTCAGGTTCAGGTTCCGCTGGAGGAGGCGGTGGCCACTGAAAGTCTATTCCAGGAACTGGGAGGCCCCTCTTTTTCAGCAATCTCTCACGCTTTCTCTTGTCAGTACTCATGAGGTTGTCCCAGTTATTATAGAGAGAATCATCTGGCAAAGTGGGCGCTGGAGGCTCAGGCTCAGGCTCTGGCTCAGGTTCTGGTTCAGGTTCTGCTGGGGGAGGAGGCGGCCACTCAAAGTCTACTCCTGGTATCGGAAGGCCTATCCTTTGCATCACCTTTTCACGCCTTTTCTTGTCATAACTTGACAGATTGTCCCAATTGTCATAAAGAGGGTTGTCTGGCAAAGTGAGCGCTGGAGGCTCTGGCTCCGGCTTAGGTTCTGGTTCAGGTTCTGCTGGGGGAGGAGGCGGCCACTCAAAGTTTACTCCTGGTATCGGAAGGCCTTTCCTTTGCATCACCTTTTCACGCCTTTTCTTGTCATAACTTGACAGATTGTCCCAATTGTCATAAAGAGGGTTGTCTGGCAAAGTGGGCGCTGGTTCTGGTTCTGGTTCTGGTTCTGGCTCTGGCTCTGGCTCTGGCTCCGGTTCTGGTGCTGGTTCTGGCTCGGGCTCTGCTGGAGGAGGCGGTGGTGGCCATTCAAAGTCTATTGCTGGTACTGGGAGGCCTATCCTTTTCATCACCTTTTCACGCCGCCTCTTGTCATAGCTTGAGAGATTGTCCCAGTTGTCATAGAGAGGGTTGTTTGGCAATGTGGGTGTTGGTGCTGGTTCAGGCTCTGATTCGGGTTCAGGTTCAGGTTCAGGCTCCGGCTCAGGTTCCGCTGGAGGAGGAGGTGGTGGTGGTGGTGGTGGCCATTCAAAATCTACTCCTGGCACTGGAAGGCCTTTCCTCTTCATAACCTTTTCACGCCTACTCTTGTTATAACTTGACAGATTATCCCAATTGTCATAAAGAGGGTTGTTTGGCAAAGTGGGCGCTGGTGCTGGTTCTAGTTCTGGCTCTGGCACAGGCTCTGGCTCGGGTTCGGGTTCGGGTACGGGTTCAGGTTCAGGTTCAGGTTCAGGTTCAAGTTCCGCTGGAGGAGGAGGCGGTGGTGGTGGCCATTCAAAGTCGATTCCGGGGATTGGGAGACCTCTCCTTTTCAGTGACTTTTCACGTCGCTTCTTATCCTTGCTGGATAAGTCATCCCAGTTATCATAGAGGGGGTCATCCGGTAATGTGGGCGCTGGTTCTGGTTCTGGCTCTGGCTCCGGTTCTGGTGCTGGTTCTGGCTCGGGCTCGGGCTCGGGCTCGGGCTCTGGTTCAGGTTCAGGCTCCGGTTCCTCTGGAGGCGCGGGCGCAGGTGGTGGCCATTCGAAATCTATACCAGGAATTGGGAGAGCTCTCCTTTTCAGTGACTTCTCACGCCTTTTCCTATCCTTGCTTGAAAGATCGTCCCAGTTGTCGTAAAGAGGATCATCCGGTAACGTAGGCGCTGGCGGTTCAGGTTCTGGCTCGGGCTCGGGCTCAGGAGCAGGTTCTTCCGGTTCAGGTTCGGGCTCTGGCTCGAATCTGCTCTTCTTCTTCCTTTTTTCCTTAGGGGGATCCCATGCTGACCAGCCACCGTCTTCTTCTTGCACCGCTGGTGGTGGTTCGGGTGCCGGTGGAGGCTCTTCGACGGTCGGATGTTCGTCGATAACATAACCCCTCGTAACCCCCCTCATGCCCACTTTCTGATTACTCGACGAAGTCCAAGCGCTCGACCAGTCGTCGTCCGGGCCAGCAACCTTGGGTGCCAGTGGACGATTCAACGCAGACGAGGATGTTGCACCAAGTAGGATATCAAGAGGACTCGTTTTCTTCTTCTCTTTCTTCTTGACCGGTGGATCCCAGGCGTTGGCCTTCTCAGCGTTCTCTTCGATAGGTTCTTCAGGGATAGGTTCGGGGGCAGGTGGAGGCACCTCCATCTTGGATTCCCTCTTCGTCTTCTTCTTGTCCTTCTTCAAGAGTCCGAGACCCCAGCCCCATGAGCTATCCTCAGGCTCTTCCTCCTCTGCGGGTGGTGCCTCGGGAGCAGGCTCTGGTTCGGGCTCTGGTTCAGGTTCTGGAGCTGGAGGCGCAGGCTCGGGTTCAGGCTCAGGTTCCTGTTCTTTTGAGGGCTCTTCCACGATGGTGTCTTTCTTCTTCTTGTCCTTCTTGGTCGTGACAAAGGCGCCCCAGTCGTCCTCGGTCTGTTTTGCTTCCGGAGCATCGTTCACAGGCTGTTCAAGGTTGCCGAAATCAAACCCTCCTGGCGTCCTCTTCGGAGTATCATTTTCGGCGCCAGAAGACCAGTGGTTACTGTTGCTGTCCTCTTTAGAGCTCTTACCAGTAAGCCAACTACCAGCCCAACCACCAAGACTGAAGCCTTTTGATTGTGTCGCAGGAGCGTCCGAGCCAGTGTCGCGCTGCGGCTGGCTTTCATTCAGATTGACATCCTGAAAGGAATCCGGAGGTTGTTCAGGTTCCGCCAGTGTAGTAACCTATAGCCAGGAGTTAACAAAGTCTTTGCGTAAATCAGAGTTTGGGAGCGTCATACCCTGTCCTTCTTTTTCTTCTTTCCAGCGGCGGCCTCTTCTGCGGCTTTCTTTTCTTCCTCTTCTTTGGCCTTTCTCTCCTCCTCCTCTTTCGCTTGCCGCTCTTCCTCCTCCTGTTTCAAACGCTCTTCTTCCTCTTTCTTCTTCTTCTTGTTCTTTTTCCTGGCGGTCGCGGTCAGGCCCCATTCATCGTCATCGTCGCCTCCCCCGCCATCACCGCCTGCGCCATCGTCTCCGTTTCCATCGCCCGCACCACCTGCGTCGCCGCCTTTCCCATCGTCCGGGGGTGGTTGTTCATTCGGTGGTGGTGTTTCCTGCGGCGCGGAGTATTGGACTGGCTTCTTCTTGACCTTCTTGCCGCCTTTGTGTTCGCGAATTCCGGAGGACGGTTTGAAGTCGACAATGAACGCGGATCTGGGTTTCGAGGGTCTCGAGGGTCTCGAGGGAGCGGAGTCATGGACGAAGCATTTCTGCTGGGTTAACGGTACAAGAGCGGAGTATTCTGGAGGAAGATCGTGTACGGCGTCATGATAGGAGGGTGGCGGAAGGGCAGGCGATTCGTCGTCTTCGTATAGCAGACTTGGGCCCGGTAACTGTCATTGTCAGTGGAATTCTGTAGTCCTGTCGTGGTGATAAGCTCCAAACACACCTGGTTCATACCCAATTCCACCCATGGGTCCAAATTCCGCGACCCGATCCGAGGAACCATCACGTCATATTTCGAGTCCACCAATTCATGCCATGAAGTCTGGGATAATCGACCTTTAGGAGTAACGCGCAAAGGACCCGGTGTGTGCGATCCTGCAGACGAAGTCATGGGATCCATGCTGCCGCGACAGACTACAATCAAGCAGTCCGTTTGTTGATATTACCCGCGATAAGCTCGGTCTTTAGAAATCCACGGTGCATACAAAACGGCGCGACGACAAATGACGATAGAACTGGTCGGTATAATATTTGTTTTGCGCCGCCGGTCACACAGCAGATGACAATGCCGGTATGTCGCTGTGCAGCGGGGGAGTATCACGACAGAGGATTCATCAGGAGGACGGTAGACAGCACAGGATACACGGCACAATAAAATAATAAAATATCGATAATTAAGTCAGAAGAGTATTACACTGGATTATAGAGAGATAGAAAGAAACAGAGAAGAGAGGGATGTCGAAGTCATCGAACAGCAGTGATTCACGGGCGGTGGGGGGAGAAAGCAGAAGAAGAGAGAAAAAGTCACTGGAATGCGCACAGAGTGCAGCTGAATAGAATAAAATTATGCTCTGCACGATCTGAATACTAGAATGGCTGGTGATTGTTTTGTTTTTCTTTTCTTGCCGTCCCTTCTTTTCCTCATACGCTGGGGAAGAGAAACCGGTGGCTGGGGAGCGTCTGCGCTATACTACCCGAAGCTTCGCATCCCCGAGGGATTGACCATAGAAGAAGAGACAAAATTCAGGCACCGTCTCTCTACCAATACGAATTTATTAGGACGGACTATTATTTACAGGATATTGAATCCCAGCGACGACAAATATTTCACTCTCACCGCATCAGAGTAGCAGCACCCCCGGGCTTTGACAGCGGCCTGTCGCCAATCATAGCTGGCACGAGGAGAATTGCCAGTTGTCCAGCATTGCAGGGCAGATCACCAGATCCGAATACGCATTTGCTGCAATTTTATTATTCTGAATGTAGACGTTGAGTCATCCCGGATCATTGCCATCCCGCATTATGCGTCTTGTCGCAATCTGAAGATGGCCATCTGCATCGGAGAAATGTATATACACGCAGTGTATACGCACGCAACGTACTTGTAAGTCTCACGCGAGAGTGGTACGTTTAACGTGCGCATCAAGGAGTGACAACCCCAACGTGCCCGACAGTTGAAACTCGCATCCTCGTGCCATCAACCGGCTTTGCTGTTACTTGCATTGTCTGTTCCAGATGTAGTGATACATAGTCAGCAATCCAATCCAAGCTTGAAACAATGCGAAGATAACCCACATTATACAACGGCGATTCCACACCATACTGTCCTTTGTCGTTTAATTTCAAATTTCCCTGACTATCTAGCACCACAGCTCCTAGTCCAACTTTGGCAAAGTCATATAGTCGAACGGTACATGCCACAATTACTCGCGCCTCCAGCATTGCCAGTTCTTGTCCGATGCAATTGCGCGGACCCCGCTCGAACGGTCGCCAGGCACTGGGTGGTGCCCGGTGGGGGTTGCTGTCAAGCCAGCGCTCTGGAATAAAATCGTCTTTGGTATCACCGTACACAGCTTCGTCGCGATGCACGAGCGTATCGCAGTTGTACACAACCATCCCGTCCAGGCACAGCGTACCTCCATCGTTCGGAAGCTGGACAGTGAATCCGGAGCCAGGGCTCATATACCGCGCTGACCCAGATGGCGGATATAGTCGCAGTATCTCCTTGATCACAGCAGACACGTAGTACATACGGCTGATCAGTTCCTCGCCCTGGGAAGAGCACAGCTTGTCTCGCATCTGGTCAATGCCAGAGTCAACCCCAAATATCTCATCGAGCTCATCTCGGATGGCCTTCAGGACGTGCGGGGTGCGACTGAGCTCGTAAAACGTCCATTGCAGCACAATGCTAGTCGTGTCGTGACCAGCAAAAAGGAAGCTCTTCAGCTGATCGCAGGTTTGGTCTAATATATTCAAGTCTAGGTTATCGGCATCCTGGAGACTGAGAGAAAGCACACTGTGATCTTTTCTACTCCCCGTGATCTCAGAATGCTGCCGCTCCGCGAACACACGTTGAATGTGTTCTTTCAGCAGCAGATCAATCCGACGATCTAATCGTCGTCGATGTTGAGCTGTTCGCGGGCTCAATAACAAGGTCCACTGTACGCTCCTGTTGCTATTACTGCCGCTTTGATAGCTGGTGGTCAATTCACGATAGAGCTGGACCAACTCACTTTGGCGCTCCTTGTCGAGCTGGGCACCAAATTCAATCCCCATTGTCACCGCACCTAAAGTTTGATATCAGAGCAGTCCAACACCAAACCGACTGCCAAGCATAAGCTTACCGATGATGTCAAACGTGAGACTGCTGCACAGTTCATCCAACCTAAATGCTTCACCACTGGCAGCATGTCGATCAAGGTTCCTGAGAAACTGTCCTGCCTTATCCATAATCACAGGCAGGAGCGTCACGAGATGCTTCGGCGCAAAACCAGGGTTGAATCGCTTGCGAAGACCTTTCCATTCTTCAGCCTCGGCAGTCAAGATGGATCTCGGACCAAGTAAACGTTCATACAGCCGCATCGTTGGCGACTTGTTCATGCTATACGGGAAGCTCTTGGTGCTTTTCGAGACCTGCTCGGCCACTTCGTGGCTTCCGACAACACACAGCACATATTGGACGGGCCGAAGATCCAGGATGAATAGGGGTGCATTGCCGAGTTGCCTTTTGACCTCGAGGAACACAATGTCTATCTATGTCAGTACACGTCCATCAGTATCCGTGCATTGAAAGGAACTCACCAATATGTCTATCGGTCTTGCCACGGACGATGAACTCATGCAAACCTTTCAGATGGCCCCAGAGCAAGGACGGCTTTAACTGTGGAAAACTAGCATATTGCCTGAGACGGAGATGGCAGAATCTCTCGTACAGGTAAAAGGCTAGCAAGGGAATCAGGGCCATTATAATCATGCGAAAGACCATCCTCGACTGTCGGTGTTGTTTTAGTTGTCGAGCAAATGGACCGAGTAGCGACGAATACCACCGAGCGACGAACTTTGTATTCCCATATAAAGTAGCATTTTTCAAACTGCTATAGCTCAACAAACACCGCGTTACTTATGCTTATATTATGTCAGTGGATTATATAACTATCAATTAACTAGTTATACATAACGATATTAGCTACTTATGTTTAAAAATCCGTACGTAGACTGCTTATTATCTAGAAATATGCCATCCAAGATATCGAGTGAAATAAGTAAAAAAAAAAAAAAAAAAAAAAAGGAAAAAAAAAAAAAAAAAAAAAAAAAAAAAAAAAAAAGTTTAGGTTATAGCGAATTGAAAAATGCTACTTTATATGGGAATACAAAGTTCGTCGCTCGGTGCTAGTTATTCGTCGCTCAAGGGTTGATTACATTAACTAGTTAGCGTAATTCCCGACTGAGCTGCGCACCCGATCGAGCTGCGCACCTCTGTATTCCATATAAAATGGCACTTTTTATAACGATGCTTGAATATTGAAAAGATACAAAAAATATAGCGGTAATTTATATTACTTGGAGAAATATTTATCTGTAGCTTCTTTCTGCTCAGTGTATATGATTTTAGTACCATAATACTCTATACACTAAATTTTAGGCTCTGTAGATACTTTGCGGTTGAGATATTGAGGTTATAAAAAGTGCCGTTTTATATGGAATACAGAGGTGCGCAGCTCGATCGGGTGCGCAACTCGGTAGGGAAATACGTTAGTTATCTCTTGCCATATATTACTAATCACACTGTAATTGCTCCATGAATTGAGAGGAATGTTGCCCGATTCGAGGACTCTTATTGCGGGCTGGTGCTAGTGCATGTGATCGGCCGCAAGGGCTGGTCTGTCACTACAAATCTTACTTGCAGCTGCGCTTCAAGGATCTAATGGTAGTTATACATTTTGCATGAAGCACTGAGTGGAGCACATAACAGCGTACAATTCATTAAAAAACAACTCGAAAACTCCTTCAAGACCGTGGTCAACGAAACGTAAACATAGTGATTCTTGCGCCTAACAAAATACAAAACAGTCTCCGTGACGTGCGTTAAGATCTTTTTGACCTATACCGATCTATGTCGAGGTCAATCGATCATACTTCCTGGCCATAGGTCTGCTTGTACTCCTTCTTGTAACGGTCAAGGTCGCTCGCCTGCAGTTTTTGGTATTTCTATATCCCTCTGTTAGCTTTCGTTGCTGTGAAAGTAGTCCCGCGTAGCTACATACCACTTTTTCGGCATCCGTCAAGCCCTTCCATTCTTCTGCCACGCGAATGATCATATCCTTTGCACCCATGTGCTTGAAATCGCCATGTTCGAATCGTTCGGTAAAATACAAGAGATATGCTGTTCTCGGGCGCTTGACCAATCTGCTATCGTGAAGTTGAGGGAGAGAAGCCTTTCCGAGCTGTGCCAGTCTCCGGCGGGCGTGGTTCGCCTCCTTGATTTGCAAAGGAGTGTGCCTCTTGAGCCATTCGTCGTAGGCGGCAATATTGGAAGCCTTATTGGCGTGTGCAGTAGCAACATATCTCTGTTCACTAACGTCAGCTGGTGTCCGAGGCCAGGAAATCATAGACTTGGGGCCATCGAACCTCTTTCTGCTCCGGACTAATCGACTTAGCCAATTCCACGGCGGCTCTGAACGATGGCACACCCTTTTCGTTGTTCTTCGCAGCTTCGGGATACACGCCCTGGAAGGTGACAGTCCAAGGCTGCTCTGGGAGCCTCTTCGGAGATTCCAAAGCAGTGGCTTTGAGCTCCTTAACCTTTTCACGAAACTCCTTAGCCTTCTTGGCCTCCTTCTGCTTCTCCGTCAAGACCTTCCTCTTCGGCTTGGGCTTGGGCTTGGGCTTAGCCTTAGCCTTAGCCTTGGACTTGGGCTTGGTCGCGGTCTTCTTAGCTGCCTTCTTTTTGGGAGCGGCCTTCTTGTCAGTCTCGGTGCTTTTGGTCGTCTTCTTTTGAGCTCCTGCCTTGGGACGACCACGACCAGCAGTAGTAGTAGCGTAGGAGTTGATCAGACTACCAGCACGCACTCCGACAGGAAAGATACCGTTGGTAGCTGGGTTCGAAAGGAGGCCATTTGTAGCTGGAGAGATGCGTCGAGCGTGGCTATGGATGAAAGCGACGCGAGGACGAGAAAGGACCTTCGCAAGGTGAAGGGGCCGGAAAGCACCCGCACCCCGCGGAGCCAAGTTCAATACCATATTTGCAAATGGCTGAAGCTAGACCGCAGTGGGTAAGAATTCCTGCAGGTGCTAGTGGATGATGTGCAAAAGCAACAATGAACGTTGGACTAGCTTCCTGTTGTGGCAGGGATAGAAAGCGGGAGGTGAAGCTCGCGTCCCAGTTTCGTTTGATTGGTCCCGAATCGGGAAAGCACAGCACGTGACTCTATCGATAGTGTCATGTCACATGACTGATAACCGCCTCGGGACTTTTCGACCAAAAAGTAACAACACCAGTTAGCCACTCTAGGAACAGCGTCAACACTAGCCATTTCTGCCGGCAATTATACCAAAGGGTAACCATACTCACTCGCTCTGTTATCCTTACTACCGCGCTCGAGTTGCTTTTGAGTCCCAGTAATACTCACTTATCGTTGGCCTGCAACAATGGCTCGCCACGGGGATTCTCGCTCACCATCACCTGTAGGCAGCACATACTCTTCGTCCAAGCGGAGTCGCAGAGATGATGATCGCTATGAGCGAAGCAGGCGAGATGAAGGACGCAATTATCGCCGATCTCGCAGCCCGGGGGTATGTCAATGGTTCTCCTTTCCAGTTTCGTCTCAGTTTTCTAACCCGATTTTGCAGAGGCGATACCGTGAACGTGAACGCGACCGTGATTCATACCGGAGACGTGACCGCTCGTTAGACAGACGCGATGACTATCGGGACGAACCCAGCCACAGACCTAGTCGGAGAGAGCGCTCTCGCGACCGTCGGCGGTCCAGAGACAGAGATGATGACCGCGATTACCGTCGGAGAAGTCGCGAGAGAAATTACCGAGGCAGGCGAGATGATTCCCGCGACAGGGCCCGAAGACGGACAGACAATTCTGCTGACTTGAAGCACAAGTCTAGGCGGGATGATAGCCGTGACCGTGTCTCGGGCAGGGATTCACCGGTATGGCCTCCTTATCTGATGTTATTACTATAATTGGTTGTTTCTAACAAGAGTTTTATTTTTTTATTCTTAACAGGCCTCGAAACCATCCACCCCCGCCGCAGCTCCCATGGACGAGGGGAAACGGGCCGAAAGACTAGCCAAGTTGGAAGCATGGAAGCAAAAGCAAGCTGCCGAGAAGGAGCGGAAGCAACGAGAACAGGCCTGTTCGGGTGGCGCGAAAAATATACTGGAAGAAATAGACAGAAAGTCCGGCGCATTACCAGCCACGAACGCTCCCCAAACCACTGCTGCACCAGCTACCGATGCCACTTCTGCCGTGCCCACTCGAAAATTCGACCCGAAGGCGATTGCCAAAAGTGCCACGCCTACGACAGCCGTGCCCGCCGTACTTGGTGAGGATGTTGCGGTCCCGCAAACGGTCAAGACGTCTGCTGCACAATCTAGTGCGCCCTCAGCTGCGTCCTCATGTAAGTGCTTCTCCCTTTTTCCCGATGTTCATCTAAACTGATGCTGACTCTCTATCAAGCTGCCTTTAAAGCAAAGGGCAATGTGGGTGGGTTTGGATTAGGCTCCAGGCCCTCCGCGGACACCGAGAAATCGTCTGCCATCAAGACCTTAGGATTTGGCGAAGAAGAATCTACACGGAGGAAACTCGAGAAGCTGCCCACTCCCCCATTAGATGATACCAAGGATACTGTTCCTGCGGCGGATGATGAGGACGATGATGTCGATATGCAAGAGGGCGGGACCGAAGAGGAAAATGCAGCTGCGGCAAGGGCGGCCGCTGAAAGACGAGAAGAGCGATTACTCCAGGTGCAGTCCAATGGTCAACCCAACGGAGATGTTGAGATGCAAGATGACTCTCATCAACCAGAAGATTTTATGGAGGTAGAACAAGAGGAGGAGGTTGATCCTTTGGACGCATTCATGTCGGAATTGGCGGATTCCGGTCCACCCAAAAAGACCAGCGGCGCCAAATTTTCCAAACAGAAGGAACAGGAGCCAGAGACCATCTTTGCGGACGAGTACGACATGACAGCGGTAGGGGATGGTGATGCTGATGACTTCCTTGCCATTGCAAACAAGACCAAGAAAAAGAAGGACATTCCCACAGTCGACCATGCAAAGGCCGAATATGAACTTTTCCGAAAGAAGTTCTACACGGAGCCATCTGACCTGGCCCAAATGTCTGAAGAGGATGCGGCAACCTTGCGGATGGAACTTGATGGGATCAAAGTACGGGGTGTTGATGTTCCCAAACCTGTGCAGAAGTGGTCCCAGTGTGGATTGGGCGTGCAGACTTTGGACGTCGTTGATAAGCTCGGCTATGAAAGTCTCACTTCAATCCAGGCTCAGGCGATCCCAGCAGTCATGAGTGGTCGTGATTTGATCGGTGTAGCCAAGACAGGATCCGGAAAGACCATTGCATTTTTGATACCCATGTTTCGGCACATCAAAGACCAGAGGCCGTTGGACAATATGGAAGGACCTGTCGGTCTGATAATGACTCCTACGCGTGAACTGGCCACTCAAATCCACAAGGACTGCAAACCGTTCCTGAAAGCTCTGGGCCTTCGGGCAGTCTGTGCTTATGGAGGTGCACCGATTAAAGACCAGATTGCGGATCTCAAGCGTGGTGCTGAAATTATCGTGTGTACTCCAGGTCGGATGATCGATTTGCTTGCGGCGAATGCAGGCAGAGTTACCAATCTGCGGCGAGTTACCTACGTGGTTCTGGACGAAGCAGATCGTATGTTTGACATGGGTTTCGAGCCTCAGGTGATGAAAATTATGGCAAATGTACGACCTGACCGTCAAACC